ATTTCAAAATAAATCCATAGTATTCCAAATAACATTTGTTTTATTAAGCTTTGAAAATAGGGAGACAGTTATGCCCCACCCTGTACATTAATCTAGATACTGCCGGCGTCTGTAGGTATGCACGTACTGCTTGTGCTCTATCGACTGCTACCGCTTCATATTACAGCAAGAAAACTTATAGGTATTGTTAATGGTCATCAAAAGTTCAAATTGTTAGTTGATGTTGGTACTGCCTAATAAATGTATCGTCAAAGAAAAGCTTACAATAATTCTAGTATAGTCAGGCTTGGTAAAGCCTGTCGACCATATATACGTACTGCTATCGCTAAGCTGCCTGCTTTATACAGTCCGCTATATTTTCCTGTCTTGCACCAACAGAGGTCAAAATATCGTAGTTTCGTATCTCATATACCAACGAGTCATATTAGTAACATTAGTAACACCTACGGACGTAGGTACTATACGTACGTAACTGTCTACTATACATTTCGCACTGGAGTATGTCCATTCTTTCTCTTTTATATCATCCAAATTCTTAGTGTTACTGATACAACTTGCAAACATAGGTACTTCTTGACGGATAGAGATAATACTTGCACTAGCGCCTTCTATGTTAAAAATGTTTGTATGTTTTATGATCCTTTTGCTAATGCCCTCCCACGACAATAAATCTAAACGCAAATAAAATTACGTAATGCATGAATTGTAGTACCCCTAACAATGTATATAATTAATCGGCAAGCAATCCCGTCAAACATAGTGTATGAAATATGGACCTCAATCGGTCGTATAAGATAAATATACTCTCGGCGTATACACCCACATGAAAATCGGTCTTCATAAATCTTTGGTTAACGGTGAATTCGCGGGCATGTAGGACAATGGTCCAAGAGATTATTGCAAGAAGCCCAGAAGTCGTTCTTTCTTCAGTCACGCTTACCGACTTTCCAGCATAACGTTGCCATTGATATAGTGCCGATTCTAGGCAAAGGTTTAACCTTAAATATACTGAAGCACCACCATTGGAATAGAATCGGTATTTCCAAAAATTTCATAAAACTTTAATCTTTCAGGAGACAATGCAAACTGTTTGTTAATAATAATGGAATTATGCTGTTTTAGCAAGAAATGGGGTTAGTTATATACAGGGTGGTCCATAAGTCCTTTGAAATTTCAAATTTGAATAAAATTTAACGGGTGAGCGTGAGCGGCGCGGGCGAGGTGGGGGCAGTATCTTCAGTGTCTGGGAATTCAGTCGCCATGGAGTGTGTCACTGGAGCGGATCGTGCTTTTTGTGTGCGCGCGTTTTATCAAAATAATGATTCGGCAACCATTGCGCGGCGTAAATATCGAGAATACCACAATTTTACAAAGTGTCCAACAGCTCAAACGATTAAGAACTGGGTTGCTAAGTTCGAAGAGACTGGTTCGACGTTAGATAAACAGCGGTGGGGTCGACCAAGGACAACTCTTATTGAAGAAAACATCAACATTGTGGCACAGTCTGTTCGTCAAAATCCTACCCAGTCTACTCGTAAGCGTTCCAGTGCACTAAACGTACCCAGAACATCTTTACAGCGGATTAAGGAAAGATTTACGTCTGCACGCTTACAAAATTCAGTTAGTGCAGGAATTAAAAGATAATGACGCTATTCAGAGACTAAACTTTGCGAATGAAATGTTGAATCGATTTTCTTCGCTCAATAATGTGTTGTTCTCGGATGAGGCTCACTTCCATTTAAACGGGCATGTAAATAAACAAAATTGCCGTTATTGGAGCCCCGAAAATCCAAGGCGTAAGCATCAGAAGCCCTTACACAGCCCTAAAGTTACAGTTTGGGCTGCTATGTCAGCGCATGGCATCGTAGGCCCTTATTTTTTTGAGGACGACAGAGGTCGCGCATTAACTGTTACTTCGGAACGGTATGTAGCAATGATAGAAGAGTTTCTGACACCAGCGTTGCAGAATTTTCCAGGCTATAATACGCAGACCTGGTTTCAACAGGACGGAGCAACTGCCCACACCTCCAACACTTCTATGCCCGTCGTCTGTCAACTTTTTCCCAATAAAGTAATTTCTCGAAGAGGAGACATTTACTGGCCACCACGTAGTCCAGATTTGACCCCAATGGACTTCTTTTTATGGGGCTACCTCAAGAGTAAAGTGTACGACACCACTCCGCGATCAGTTGATGTCCTGAAAGAAAATATCCGAAGAGAAATGGCAAGCATTACAGTGTTGACTTGCCGCGCAGTCATCGACAATTTTAGACGTCGTTTATATGAGTGCCGTGATCGTAATGGATTGCATTTAGACGATGTGATTTTTAAAACATAATTCCCATTCAATAAAGATGATAACAAAATATAATAATTCTTCATAATGTAACTAGTTTGGTTTTATTCCTTTTTTTCCAGCTCAAAGGACTTATGGGCCACCCTGTATAACTTGAGCAAAAGAATCGTTATTAATCATATTTTTTTATTATTGTTTGTTATTGAAACTTACACTCAAAAATTTGACATACTCGTATTAACATAGTCACAGGTTTCAATTTTGCATGTTTTGATATAAGGTACGCAAGGAAAACCCGGACAAAGCGAATACCCTGGGAATATCAAATTTCCCGTTTTACATCCAAACCGTGAATCAGCCACCGTAAAAAATTACAAGGACTTATTCTTTCAACCTTCTTCAACAATCGGCAATCGGTTTTAGAAGGACCCACGTACTTATTTGACTACCAGACAGCAGGAAAAAAATATTTTGTTGTGCGTATATTTCCATTTTTATACTATCTATCTTTTTAAAATATTTAGGGTTTGGTAGAAAACAAGGTAATTCTGTAGCCCGTTGAGAATCGTGATGAGGTATTTTTACTCAGTGATGTTTTTCTAGCGAGCCCTGGGACTATATATCGCTAAATGCGCGGGTAGGTAAAACAACGGCTATCAGAATGGAAACAGGAAAGTAGCGGGCAAAAGTTTTGCGAGCCGCTATCGAATGACATAAATCATTTGGAACAAGTTTCGCGTTTTGGAAAAATCCCGCACGCAGGCGGATTCGAAAGATTTATTGCACGCGCTGTCACGATAATCATTGCTAATATACTGCTAATAGTTGAATATATTGTAGGATAACAGTTGTAGTTTTAAGTAAATGAAGCTGAGTGTGACAAAACACTAATGATTTAGCGCTGTCGTAGGTTGATAGCGTTTATTGAATAACACATGTGGTTTTGGACTCGCCAGGATCCTGCTTTTTGTCCTGACATTGTCGTCCTTTGTACTGGGAAAGAAATAAGTGTAAGTGTAAGTATGACAGCTCCTTACCAGTTCAAATATCGGATCGATATATTCAAAGTCAACATAAAGGTGGAGAAATATCTTCTGGCATGCATTGGAATTAATCGTGGGTCATATTGTCATATAAACAAATGTATTACTCATGAACATCACTAATTCATAACAACACCTATCGCTGATTTATATCAAATTCGCGGTTCCGCGTTCGCGTTGACTGCTCTTCGGAGACTGACTGACTTGTATCCTATGACTTAATTAAGGTTCCTTCTCGAGGTTTTAGGCTCCATAGTTCCGCTGGCTGTCGATAGATGGCGATAGTAGTTCCTACATACAATATGAATAATTTGCGATTGTTGGAGATTCTCGATGATGCAATTCGTGATTGCCTCTTCCTTTTCACTTGATCAGCTTACGCTACTTAATATTTCTGTGGGTAATAATCGTAAGGTTAGGACCGCAGTGATACAGACACATTATTAAAGTTTATGGCTGAGCATCAACATTTCATCGGGAGAGTTTTGCAAAACTGCAGAACTAGAAATTTTATTGTCGTCAGTCGACGGCGGTAGAACGTGATAAGTTGAAATTTAAAATTTACAGCCGCATTTTATTTCAGATTAATTTGAGTGGTACGCTGTATCATTACAATGTTGTATGCGAATGATGACATATAAACCGGACGAAATGTGTTTTTTATTTATGCATGCTGACTTGCACTTTATATTTATTATATCTGATAAAACTTTGTAATAACAGGATGTATATTTGCTCATTTTTTGTACAGAAGCCGATGACTCTGCAACGTTTTAGGCTTATTGCAGTGTTATCTCCCCCCTCCCGAGGCATCCACAATCTGTCATCATGTCAGTGAGATAATGTGGCCTAGTTTATTTGTTCAAATAGGCACTTGCAATTCAATGATTGATTGTGTGCTTTTATAATGATTTAAATTTATGTACTGACTCTACTCTCAATGAGATTCTAGTAATTGCAAACAACATACCAAATATGGAATATTCTACTTTTAATATCTGGTTTATTGCTTGCGAGTGGTTTAGATTGTCGTTTATTCGATCAATAAATTACCTGAAGATTTCTATGACCAAGTTTATAGGTAATTTCTCGTTAACGGAATGTCGTTTGATACTATTATGCGTTCACAAGTCTGCGCAAAACTGATGATTAGTGTTGCACACAGTGCAAAAATACATCACGACCTGGAGGACATCGTGCTAGTATTGTTTTCTCTTCACTTTTTTTAAAATGGACCATAACAGTACGGAAAAGTGGCAAAGAAGAAAAAGTATTTTTCATTGACAGAGACACGAAATGTTTGATGTTCTTTTGAGGGCAAATTTAGGATGAGAGTGTATTATGCACTTCACCTGCATCAGTTGTATCAAAATTTTATCAAAAGAAAATGTTGTCGTACTATGCGTATCAGTCTGTGCGCATGCCTCTACCTATCCTAGGATATAGCTCTATAATGGAAAACAACAATTTTTACATAAAAGCATAAAATTAGTATTATTCAAAATTTATGTTGTTATTCCGCCTTTTATTATCGAATATACTTTAAAGTCACTCAATTTGCGTCATTCCTAGATCTATATGTATTGCATAATATACATTATTTTATATTTTTTACGTTCTAATCACAAATTCCCCTATTAATAGGCGTCTGATATGCTTGGTTTTGCATTTTCGATTGGCGGCGGGTTTGAACTTTAGTCGAAAAGAATACAATATTAGTTTTGTTGCAATATGTTGAGAATTTTCGAATTGAGATTCGATATATTGTACTTATATCACTGTAACCGCGGAGTATTAGAAACAGCTCCACTGATTTTGATGCTATTAGCAAAAATCGAAGAATGCCGGGACATCATCAGAATTTCTCCTTCTATTTGCTGAATCTCCTAACGTCAACAGTCATTGACCTTGAAATCATACATCATTGACCTTGCAGTGATACGTCGTTGACCTTGAGAATGAATTAAAAAATCTTTAACCTTGTACCGAATTGAAATATGATTGTTGCTTTAAGGTGCCCTTATGGTTCGCCTCTGAATTATTTTTGAAGCAAAGATCGTTGTCAAATTGAGACTTTATATTATTTTTCGTTTCAGTAAAAAGATGTTACTGCGAGGGGCACTGCCCAAACAACCAGTTCAATGGTACCTGCGAGATCAGGCCAGGTGGCATGTGCTTCACTTCCGTGGAAGCTGAATACGATGAAGCACTGGGAATGGATGTGCCCATCTACACGTATGGATGTCTTCCTGATGACGAGCGAGGTCTCATGCAGGTAAACATTACGTTTTTTTTTTGTTATTTACATATTCCACCAAAAATATCCAGTTCAATTAAAAACCATGGAGACTATAACTTCCAATACCAACCTGTCTAGATAGTAGCTGGATATAGTAGGTATTTAATTTGAATTTTTTTACTTAGCAGCCTGCTCCTTTTATCGCTAGATGGCAACACCAATACTACTTTAGAAATTTCCGAGCCAGTTCTCACTGATTGAGGCAACCCTTCTCGCGTCTGTGTTTTTCCATTTTTTCGCTTTGGTACCCATACAAGCTAAGAAGAAAATGTAAAAATTCCCATTTTTTCATTTTTGGAATTCAGAAACTTATTTTCCGACTATTTATTTATCAGAGCCAATATCAACTCAGGATTAAATCACCGCCATTAAAACATAGTAAACAGACTGTGTGTTGCCTCTAACTGGAAATTTTTACTGCTACTTCAATAAAAGTTTTTTTTTTGTACTGTAATAACAATCTATCATTATCGAAAGAAAGTGCCAAAATGTGAAAGATTTCTGATAGTATGAGAGAAATGTATACAGAGAAATCCATATACCGCTGACGTTCTAATGTGTATGAGAGCGAAGCATGTAGTACGTATATTAGAAAGAGATAGAAGCACTACGTTGCCCAGCATCAACCAGAGTGTTAAAAGCTGTAATGCTATGACATACGCTGACGATACGCTGATTTATATATCTTTTAATCCCCAAAATTTTGATTATCAGCTTCTCTAATTAAAGTTCAGTTATTGTGTTACAACCCTCGAGACGTTATGACTAAAGAATTCTATATTGTATTAGCCTTTATTTCCCATGTTCAGATCAAACCACTAGTAATCCAAAATAATTGTTGCCGTATCATAAATAATTTAAAAAATATGATCCTACTTACTTTAAGAACTATTGATACCAATACCATTCACTCACTGTTGCTCATAAAATTTAAAATAATAAAAAGCCATCATATTTGAAAAATGAACCTATACCTCGCTTAAATATAATTTCATCCAATCGAATTATCAGAAGACAGCTTTATTTAACCGAACTTTCACATTTAACGCAGTTAGTTTATACAACTTTGTTCCGAAAAACTTGAAACCATTGTCTTTGAATAGGTTTAAATATTATGTGAAAGATCACCTCCTGCATAAATAAGCGTATTATTTTTTGTATGTGCTTGTGCTTGAATAATTAATTCCAAATTTAAATTTATTCCTAAGATTATTATTATTATTAGTTTAGTAACAAAACCGAAATCTCTGCCTGAAATTCAATTTTTTTCCAACCTCAAATTGCTTTTTCAATCAATCGTCGCTGTTTTTGTACATGATTGCCAGTTATCCGCATGTCTTTAAGACCCCTCATCCCAAATTGACGAAGTATTTTTACATTTACAGTGCAAAGGCCATCTGGTGCCCCACGAACAGAGCAAATCGATCGAGTGTTGCGACAAGGACATGTGCAACCTGAACCTCAAACCAACCTATCCAGAACGACCTACCCCCGAATCCCCTTCATTTCCCTCCCCAGACAGCCTCCCTTTCACAGTCCTCCTCACAACTGTCACTTTTTGCCTCACGCTTGTCCTCCTCGTCATCGCAGTGGTCTTCGTCAAGAATCGACGGAAAGAGATGCAGAGAAAGTTCAACATGTACAAGAATTACCCGCCAGAAAAGTTCCCGAACATGGAGGTCCATGGGCCGCTGTCAAATCTAATAGAACAGTCTAGTGGGTCAGGATCAGGCTTGCCCATTTTGGTTCAGAGGACGATATCCAAGCAGATACAGATGGTACACTCGGTTGGCAAGGGAAGGTAATGAACAAATCACTTCTATATTGTTTCACTACTAACCTGAGAAATTGCCATTATTCACCGCATGCCTCTAAGTAGAAGTTACATTTATAATATGTGCATGTAGAATTTCTTTGACTTGCCGGGCACAGAATTGTTATTGCTATTAAATCCTTTATCCATTCTAGAAGTCAATGCAGAACATATTTTATAACTGAAACTGTTGTTGTTGATTGTATGTATTTATCCCATCATTTTGTCAGCATGAAGGTATGTGATGTACTATTATTTCAATGACCACAATAAAAACACACGGTAGGTGATTTTAAATCAGTAAAATCACATACCAATTGAAGAAAATAATATAAACATGAATAAACAATCAACAATATTAAAAAAACAAATTATATTCAAAAATTAAACATTTATTTAGATTTTGACTGAATTATATGTAATTTCTTAATATTTAATAAGCCGGTGTTGTCTCAATGGCAAGCTGTCATCTCAGACTTTGACAATATTTTATTTCAATATTTTACAGCTGTTGGATGCTAAAATTTGTCGAATGCATCTTAAAGCTCATTCGCTATATTTGACGGACTGTTACCCTATAGGTGGAAAATAACGGCTTGTTAATTTGACAATCCTGGTGCAAGTCAGACAGTCCAAATAGCGATGAGGCTGTCAAATTAGTGAATGTCTGACTCTCTTCAGGGTTCAAATGACGGCATATGTCACTCAGCCCATTTTAACTGTTTTCAATTCGTGTTTCAGGTATGGAGAGGTGTGGCTTGCCAAATGGAGGGGGGAGAAAGTAGCTGTCAAGGTGTTCTTCACTACAGAAGAGCAGAGTTGGTTCCGAGAGACAGAAATCTATCAAACAGTACTAATGCGGCATGAGAACATACTCGGCTTCGTAGCTGCAGATATCAAAGGTATACTTCTTAATCTTTGCTCTCCTTTTCCTCAAATATCTTCACTTTGATTCCTTCTCTTGGATCTGGCCTAGTTTTTGAATGATGAGACCAACAAAATACATTGACTGAACATATGTTGACCCAAGGCGGCCTGGTTATCAAAATTTTTAATTTCCCAGCCTAACTCTCTTATTTGTTCAAAAACTTCCGTTTGGTTCCCTCTGAATCAGCTGGTGGGAATTTACTACAGTCTGGCTGAATCTAGAATCAGATATGGTATTTGCTTTGGGGCTGCTCTCCTGCAGCACAAAACGTTTCTATTGCTCAAAAACGAATAATCATCAGATCAGTAGCGCGTGTGGGCGATACTTATAGTTGGGGAACTATTTAAAAAATATAAAATTCTAACAGTACCATCTCTGATAATTCGCGAATTAGCTTTATATGTACATAGAAACAAGTTCAAATTTGTTCTTAATAAAGATATCCATGACAAATAACATACACCTTGATTTTTCTAAATATAAGGGGTGGTAATATTTCGCCAAACATTCTTCCCCCTAAAATAATTAACATTCTTCCAAAAAAAAAAAATCATAATCACTTCAATTACAGTTTGAAGGAACGTTTAATATATAAATGTTTTTATATCTATGATTTTATAAGTGGGAAATTATTGTATGTTGCTTTACCTTCACATCTTTCTGTATATTGTTGCTTGCATCTTTTAACGATTCCTATACAAACGTTGTTTGTCCAGAGGGAAACAAATTATTATTATGTAAATATTACCTCATGTTTGATGCCGAAATGTTTTCTACTACCATACAAATCAAAATGGGTAGCCCCTTCCCGGGAAGTAGTTAAAATAAGGAAGCATTAATGATATCGACTATGCACAAGGCAATAAGGAGACATCATATCCTCCTATCACTCTTAGGTATTAAAAGCGCCAAGGTGAATAAGGTGTCCTCACACAAAGGAGGTCTAAAGTGAAAGGACGACTATGTTTAAGGGCCGTATCCTCAGTCGTTCATACAATTGTAGGATGCCTTTATGACCACCTTGATTTTCATAGTTTTCTACTGTTCAACGCTCTATTTTGAGGTTATGTTACAAATATCTATCTGCATCAAATTGTTCATGCTTTTGCATATTATCTGTTATATCAGCCTGAATTTTTTTGCGATTCGTATAGAAAACAGCCTCACAATAGGAGAGCGCTGACGCTGACACCGAACAGTAGAAATCTAGAAATACACCAGCCTTTCTGAAGGAGAGAAAAGACTCTGAAAATCAAGGAGATCGTAAAGGCGGCCAACAATTGTCGATACGACTGACGATACGGCTCTAAGTTCATCTTTATTGTACGACTTTTTGGGGACCTGCTTCAAGTATAATTGACACTCAAATAAAATATATTGCCAAAAATGTGTCACTTGTAGTTTTGGTTGTAGTAGTAGTATATTTATCCAAATTTCAAACATAAAGTTCACATGACATATCAAAAAAAAAGTAGCATAATTAAAATATCACAATAAATGTCTTAGTAGTTGGATGTATGACTTTTCTAACATGATAGTTGATTGCGGTAGTTTTATTTTTATTTAGGATGTACTTGGAGAAAGTCACCGTTGTGACCGAAACGCCGTACAATAACGAGGAATTTTAAACATATGTGATTTGATTCGACCAGACAAACATGGGGGATCACACTTATCGTTAAACACGACTGACACTAAAAAATGTTATTAACGTTACAGGTACGGGTAGCTGGACTCAGATGCTCCTGATCACCGACTTCCACGAGAAAGGTTCCCTGTACGACTACCTGCAATCGCACTGCCTGGACACCAACAGCTTGCTGGTGATGGCGCACAGCACGGCCTCAGGCCTCAACCACCTGCACACGGAGATTTTCGGCACCAAGGGGAAGCCGTCCATCGCGCATCGAGACATCAAGAGCAAGAATATCCTGGTTAAGAGGAACGGCGAATGCTGCATAGCGGACTTTGGACTTGCGGTCAAGTTCTTGTCGGACACGAACGAGATCGATGTGCCGCCAACTGTGCGATCGGGTACCAGGAGGTAATTCAAATTTTCTCAAACAACAACTACATAGGGACCTCGGTTGGCCGCGTGGGTCAGAGTGTCGGCCGGGCCGCGAGTTCGAATCTCGCCTTCGCCATGGATGTTGTGACGTCGTGTGTTTGTCCATAATTAGAGATATACAAATACAAGATTGGATCTGGCTAATTTTACGCAATGTCCTAATGCAAAAAAAAACTACATCATTTAGTCCATATCCGACGATTTGACTACTCAAAAAATAGAAGAATGGAGCTTTCTTGTTTTTGCAGTAAGGCCGAGGATAAGAAATGAACGATTTCATAAAACGGTAACTAACCGCAAAGAATTAATAGCTACATGGACAGAATGTTCGCTACTTACAGAGTACCTCTACAATTTCCTACATTCCTAATTATTGATATTTCTTTGCAGGTACATGTCTCCGGAGATCCTGGACAAATCCATCAACATGCACAACTTCGATGCGCACAAAATGGCGGACATGTACGCGTTCGGTCTGGTGCTATGGGAAATGGCGCGAAGGTGCGTCACAGGCAGCGACAAGTTGCGACAAGCTGACGAATACCAAGTGCCTTATTACGATTGCGTTCCCTCCGATCCTTCGTTTGAGGACATGCAGCAAGTGGTGTGCGTCAAGAAGATCAGGCCACAAATACCGCAAAGGTGGGTATTCAAGTCGCCACTTGAAAATTGAGTGTCCCTTGAGGCACACTTTAAGTGACCCTTAAGTCGCACTTGGTTGACATATATGGGAAATTTGGGATCAAAATTCAGCGGTATTTTGTGAATATTTTGGTTGAGCAAAATCAGCTCCATGGATTCATCTACATAAACATTTTTCGAGTTCAGCGTATTTTAACATTGTAATTTTGTTTTTTGTAGGTGGGAGGGAGAAGAGGTCCTGCAGACGTTAGCAAAAGTAATGCAGGAGTGTTGGCATTCGAACCCAGCTGTTCGATTAACAGCACTCAGGGTGAAGAAAACGCTCTCGAAGCTCGACACGGACACTAGCATAAAGATAGTGTAGTGATGTGAAATAAACGTGTGGTGTATCTTGCGCATTCTCTGTTTTTAAGGGAGTGTACTTGGTTTTTTACTACAGATTTGTCAGTCATTACTGGATTTGATAACTGGTAGGTATTTTCTCTTACGATTCCTTAACCTAGGGATTTAATTTTCTGATACATGAGTAGATTCGAAAGACATTTGATACTTCTGAGATCCCTCGAGACAAAAGGTGTTCCACACGGTTGCAGGAATATGTGCTTTCAATTTCTTCGGATTCTTGGAATAAATCAACAGGTGTTAAAAAATCTCTAATCAAATTGCCAACGTTTCGACGTTTATTTTACGAAGAAATGGAAAGCACATAACAGACACTGGGATCGGAAGTTATATCTCTTGTATGCAGATGCGTGACAATTTTACTTTTGACATGAGTATTTGAGATATTTGAAGATAATTTTTAATCTACCCGTGAACGCAGTTTTCACCGCTATGTGGTGTATTTTTTCTCCATTATTTTACAATGCATTGTTTTTAATAAAACGCTGGGTGTACTGAGAACACTGTAGTAAAAAAATCAGGGACATTCCAACTGCCAATTCAGGGAAACCCGTAATTTTTGTACATAAAATATAAACCAGAGTAAGATACACCGTGTGTATATAGTAAAAATTGTATACTGAGAAAAGTAGGTTGTACATAGTATTTCTTTGTAAGTTGGAATTGTTTTTAGGTCTAAAGTGTACCTATATGTGTATAAATGGAAGTTCAAAAGCCCTTAGACAGTAACTCGAAAAACATATACAGGGTGGTCCTTAATTCCTTTGCCAAAGCAAAAAACAATCATATAATCAACTTGTTCGATTTTTTAGCAAGTTTTTGCGTGACATAAAAAAATTGGATACATACATATTCCTTACGAAGTAATAAATTCACTTCGATATTAACAGATTAAAGATCATTCTGTATTTGTCAGAAGATTCATGGTAAAAGTGGGAAATACGTGCAACGATTTAGGAAAACAAAAAAGATGCCATACTTAAAATAATTCCTATGATACAGTGCCATTGTTATTTTGGGTTATTTCAAAAACAGCGACGAAGTAGATGTAAAATTATTAGCATGTCTGCATGCTCACAAAATGTGAACAATTACTGAAACATTAGGCTTACGCGTCCTTGAAAGTCGAGCAAAAGAAATAAATGATACGATATTTGTCAATACAGAGTTTTTAGTGAAACAAAAATAACGAATCGTTAGCCGTCCGTATAGCTTTTTTTCCTTCTGGGAGGCGTCCAATCAACGTCCAGTAGGTACCTTGCTCTTGGAATTTACAAATTACAAATCTGGGAACTATGTGGTCCTTCTTCACGTCAGATATGCCGCTTCCCACATGCTTCCTTATTTGATTGTGTCCAAGGTCCTCATATCCTCCCTTTGGCTGTAACTGTAGCCCATTTTCGCTTCCTCCATTACAAATTGTATCATGCCACGCCTTTTTTTATAAACAAGAGGAAATGGTGCTGTGATTCCTTTCCTTTTTTTAATTCAATTAATAATAATAAAACACTATAAATGAAATTTAAGGGTCAGCCAATGCAAAGCAGCTGTCTAGTGACATGTAAAGTTAGAGAGCGCCAGTGACATGACGGATTAAGCCACAAATTCCCGAGGTGTTAATGGGAACTTGTTTTGCCCGACCACCCACACAAAAGAAAAGATATTGAACAAACCTCTTCAGGATATGTATTAATTGACGTGATAAGATGATATACAAAAAAGAAATTACCAAATAAAAGATGGTACTCCATAATCTGGTGTTCGAGGGGTCTAAATCCCAGAATCTGGGAACTAAGGAAGCGACCCACGCACAACCAAACATCAGCAGAAAGAAAAGAAAAATGGCGCTGGACGCGTCTGGACACGCAAGTTTTTAAAACAAACTATTTTGATAGGAAAAGAAGGTATCTCAAATTTTAAAAGAAGGTATCTTGATAGGACCAAATATCCCTATACGGCTGGTACATAAACAAATCACAAAGTGGCGCTGGTTGCCAATGGGTGGAACGAACTTTACGAGGGACCAACGATATTTTATGAGGAATTTTCTGACATAATCGTTAATAATACTATAAATTTGCCAAACGACGATAGTGGGAGATCCAGTATGGTCTAAAGTGGTGCAGTTGGAGGGCTCTTCATTGCATCGACAGCCAGACAAGTCTTTGTACCTTGCCTAATTCTGCAACAGTAGAGGATTGTCTCATATTTGGCCTTGTCTCTACCAAAAAGGAACGTGGCAATTTGATAATACTGACAATCATGACACGTTGCTTATTTTTAATGAGAAAATAGAAAAAAACTTTTAAAAATGTTTCAGGCAGCAGTAGTAGACTCTTCGGTCTCCTGATCAGTCGCCGTGCGCTGTGCGGGTTCGAATCTCGTCACAGGAGAAATTTTTCTCTTGGCTGTGGATGTCGTGATTGTCCGTAGGTGGTAGACGGTCTCTGACTGTCGAACGTAGAGGTACCACCCGGCGGATCTCGTAGGCGGAGCCAGAATGTGTGCATGTTGCATGCACGCGTGTTCCCTCGCCAGAGTCCGTGTGGCGTTCCCCCTTTCCCCTGTATCCCCCTATAGCCCCACGGTACCTAATGGGTGTTTAGGCCTTAGGCCTTCGTGGTAGTTGGAGTTTTAAAAAAATAAGTTTTTTGTAATATATGTGCTGTGGTTGCTCCCCCCCCCATAACCCTAGTGACCACATAACCAGCAGAACTCAAATAAAAACCAAACCTTGCCATATTGCATAGATAACAAAAATCAAGACAATTCATTGAAAACATGCCTATTTCTTGCTTTTAATTTTATCTGTGAACGAAAATTCATACTTCTATTACATTTTAACCATGTTCTGATAATAAAAAATAAGCTTTCCCAGCTTTACGAATTTCGGCAAGAGCGCTAGATAAAATATAACCTTACAAAATAAGGCTCCCCTTATTCTCCGTCACTAGGGGAAGTTTGTTATTTCAAAAACAAACAATGAAGGATTTTTTCGCAACTGCGCAAAATCGAAATAACGAAGGAGCAAAGGAAGAGCACTAAGAACTCTTTATTAATGCTATTTAATATTCAACACCTAAAAACAGGCGTCGTTGGACATAGTAGTTTTAATCTTGCGGGACTTAATTTTTACATGTGGCCAAGACACCTATTACATAATCCATGACAGTTTTGTCGTAGCCAACTTTAATCGGAGGAACATATGTGGGTTAACTAGAAGTTGTTAAAACTCAATCTCAACTTTTGCTCGATAGTGACTCTCGTCAGAGAGTCGATTAGTTATAGAGGGATACTACGTATTTAACCCATACATTGTTCGTTGGATAAAGTTAACTACAGTTCAAGGGCAAACCTCACCGTTAGGTCAGGTATTAAAATGAAACAGACTGTAGTTTTCATGTCGATAATCGCCAATATTGCTCTGGCCTATCGAAACCACGTGTTGAGAAAATACTACAATAAAGAATTGTTTCAACAGATGTGGTTTTGATTGGCCAGATAAATAGAGTATGACAAACCTAACATTGTAAAATTCTTACTTCCAGTTAACAATAAAATCAATAGTTGACCTAGGATTGGATACCCGTACCATAGGTTTCAGTAGTTGGCACTTGCTTCTTATGTACAGTTGGTGCTTTAAACCACATTAGTTTATGTTTGGCAACAGTGGTCACTCGTTAAATCAGCACTATTTTAAATTTGTTTTGCTCAAATTTTCTGTGCAATTCATTTCAAATTTTGTTTGTATTTTTGGTTAAAAATTGTTATAAATTGTATAGTAGGCCGAGCGACTGTTGGAACGTGCATTTATACATCCTCGTGTGTAAATATTGAATGAAACTGTAATTTTAATTTAACCCCCCTTCCCCATCCGTGAAATAAAACTGTATGTGTACTATGCGGTAAATATATTATTGCAAGACTGATATATTTTGAATGTTGTGTTTGTGCAGAAAATGTAATAAATAGTTTATAGAAAAACTTTTAATTTTATTTTACACAAGGTAAACAAACCTTCCTTTATCCTTTCCTAAAAAAATGGCAATTATGTTGATTCTCCATTTTCCATACAACCTTGTCATCAGATCATAAAGGATTATTATAAGACAAAAAGGGTAACACAAAAAGCAATACATGATCCCTAGTATACTAAGTGACATATAAATCCGAACCCCCAGTTTAAATGGTTTAATTTTAATAAAATTTTGTATAAGTACTTAATGAGGCATAATAAGTAAATGATAAAAATTTCAAAATGATTGCACTGCTTTAAAGCCCTTTGACCTTTAATAATGTGTGGATGCACCCTGATGTGCTACGCATTCTCCAACGCGCCTAGGCATGCTTCTGATCAGATGGTCAATGTCCTCCTGTGGTATCTCATTCCAGGCAACCACCAACTCCTCTCGAAGTGCTTCTAGAGTCTGAGGAGGACGTTGCAAATTGAGCAATCTCCTACCCATCATATCCCACACGTGCTCAGTTGGGGATAAGTCGGGAGATCTTGGTGGCCATGGTAACAATGTGAAAACATTATGTTGAAAGAAGTCTATTGTGACTCTTGCAACATGTGGTCGGGCATTATCTTGTTGGAAAGTTGGATCTGCCAGGGTGTCGAGAGGGTAAATGATGGGGTTCTAGAACTTCGTGGATATAACGCTGCGCGTTCATGTTACCTCTGATGAAGATTAAAGGTGACCTGGAACCATAAGCTATAGCACCCCAAACCATAACTCCAACAGTGTGATGAACATGTCTTTCAACAAAAAACTGTGGATTCCTCCTTTCACCACGTCGCCTTCTAACACTGGCACGACCATCGTGCATGCCTAAACAAAATCGAGACGCGTCACTAAAGACAATACTGTTCCATTCCTGATCCCAGAGTGACCGTTGTCTGCACCACTCAAGGCGATTACGTCGGTGTTCTCGAGTTAAAGGGAGGACCCAGTATGGCCGGTATGAAAACAAGCCAAAACTTCTCATTCATCGGTAAACATTTCGCATGCCAATAGGTCTTCCGTGTTCTGCAAACCATTCATTTGCAATGGACCTGGTAGTGGAGAAACGGTCCCTTAAGGCCAATAATCTTAGGCGGCGATCTTCACGGTCTGTTGTTCTACGGCGGCGTTCAGTGCCCCTTGCTCTTTGCGGCCTTCTCGAAGCCATGCCTGACAACACCTAACCACAGTATCTACACTTCTTTGAACTCTAACTGCAATTGCCCGAAAAGAAAGTCCAGCTTCCTGAAGTCCCACTATACGGCCCCTATCAAACTCACTAAGTTGACGAAATCGTACAGGTCTCCGTACTCTAGGCATCATAACCGATCGTAAAGGATGTCAAGAACCAAAATCCGCCAACGTTGATTCTTTACCGCGGCTGAAATATTCATTTTTAGAGCGTTAGTGAATTAAAAAAAAAAACAGTATAAAAACCGGAATGTCCAACTGATAAGGCTGAAAATTTTTTCACTTGTTATTTACAGTAAGATAAATACATTCACCAACTTTTACTAAAATAAAACCATTTAAACTGGGTGTTCGGATTTATATGTCACTTAGTATACTTCATTGGCAGCATATTCAGTAATAATTTTTTCACCATAGCAAATGTCACTGATTTTATACACATGCAGACCAATACACACAATCATCCAGATTGCGATCTTGCTACTCAACCAACTTTTTTTCTTTCACATCTGCGTGATAAACACTACTTGGTTTTCTGCAACCAACAATGCATGCTTAAGCGTGTCGTGTGGTCGAGTCATTCCTCTGTAGATTGACGCTTTTGACGAGTTCGCAGTATTTTGTCGTTTTTACGTAATACCACAACAGGTCTCTACCGGTTGATTGCTTTACGGAAATTTCTCAGCGCGTTCGCATAGAACGTCAGCATTTATTGTAGTCCCTGATGCCAGAAAAGACTGTTGCCATCAATCTTCCAGCAGAATCCACTGCTTGGATTCTGTTTTTGTCTCAGGATCCCTAATGACGCACGCAAGTCTCGTCACTTGGAACAATTTGTGCCAAAAAGTTGTTGGTCAAACTTTTCAGTAACTTTCTGAAATGTCCAACCTGCGCATTTTTTTTCAGGTGTCAACAGTCGTGGAACCCACCTGGCTGACTTTACGCATATCCAAATTGTCGTGCAAGATGGTTACTACGCAGAGTTCCAGAGCATTCAATGCCATACCAATGAAATACACCCTCACACGACGATCTTCCAGAACCAGGGTTTCAACTCTTTGAGAAATTTCATTTGTTGTCGTTTTGGTTCTTCCAGTTCTGGGATCGTATTCTATGGATTCACGCCCCCATATCGAAACTGTTTTGACCAACATTTTATTGTGTACTACGATCATACGCATAGAACTCAACCATTCTCTCAAGAATCGTTTTCATCTGAGGGTTCTTTTTTGTGAGATATTTGCGACACTCGAATTTTAAGTTACTCATTTATCCTAACAATTCTCTTTACAAATTGGAAACTAATCCAGGCCCATGCAATTAGTTCGTCGTCCACACCCATTAGATAACGATAACTTTTTCCTGCCCTTACTGGAAGTATCGGCCATCTAGCAACGTCAGCCATGCTATGCTGTTTGTGCAGTGCACTTGAAAGCACTTCAAACTCTAAATGCGCCCAAGGTAGCCGATGTATTGAGAAATAACACAAAATGTATTTACCTATAACCGTCTATTTCACTATCTGGTTTATAATTCACATAAAAACACAATTTCACATTCGAACAAAATACTTAATAGTCATATCCTAAGTTTATATTATAGAAAAGTTAAATATGAGAGACATTTCTCTCGTGCAAAATAATTCCGCCACTTCCGTTAATATATCGCTCCACATAAGAACGTAAGCCCAAATCTTTTGTTATTCAACAAAATTAAAGCACTAATCAATGAATTAAAAGAATGAGGATTAAAACCCCCATCACAAACATGTAAAACTGCTGATCTAGTGGAATAAAAGAAAAGTGAACAATGGGATCATACGAGGCGCGGTGTTGACCTTTGCGTATCTGTCAAAATAGTTGATAGTGAGGTATGTCAACCATCAATATCTTTTTAACAGATGGATAAAGAAAAGGGCATCTTTAAAATGATTGCTTCGCAAAATTGCGGTTTACTCTTAATATGGTGCGTATCTTCTAGGTGGTGAAGGTCCTCTTAGTCCAGGCCTGCAACAACAAAAAAAACATATTGCTATCAATTTATTAATACAGATAATATAGGTGTTAATTATATGTGATACCCAAAATGTTTGTGAAAAGTCAGATCCAGATGTTTAGCAGCAGAGCAACCGATTTCGATCTATAAGTTTTTTCACAATTTTTGCCTCATACTGTTTCACCACTCTTACACATACAACAATAATGCGCTTGACATTTCAGTGATACCACTTTGTATTTTTAGTAAAGTTATTAGGGAACACTTTCTTTAAATGGCACCCAACTTACACCCCGCTGGTCCCAAGAAGACAAAACAGACCCTGGATTCACATTCAACGCTACCAAAAACTTGACATGATTAGGTTTGATGCTTTTCGAGAACTTGGCAAATTCTATGAAACATTTACTGAATGTTAAGAATAATACTAGGCAAAACACAAAAATCCCCATCCGTTACTCACCTCCTATCGTCGAATGAATCCCTGCTGAAGTCCTCGTACATCCTGCTGCTCCTGATACCGGCCGGTGGGGGAGGCGGCGACCTTCGGCTAAACATCCCGTAATCTGAGCTCCTGCTACCGAGCGCTGTGTCGCGTAGGCTGCTGGCGCCCCTCAACCCGATACTCGGCATTGGGGGTAGCGGTTCGCGCCTAGGGGGCATCGGGGGCGGCGGCATGAAATCGCGTCCGCTACCACCGCGCGAGCCGCCGTCTCTACCCAACGCGCTGTAACGGCGCTCGTACAAGTCGCGGGAGTCATCGTAGCGACGGTCGTAGTAGCTGTCGTAGCTATCCTAGAAAAATCGAGGACAAATATAGGATTAAGCAAGGAGGAAATATTGTTAGGTACGAGGCTAAACCCAAAAGTAAGTTAATGTAACTCCTGGATCTAAACCTGTGGTTTTCATATTCATAGGACTCCCGTATCTAGCCGAATCAAAACCATGTTTAAATTTCAGTTTATTGTACGACGTTTTGACCACCACTGTGGTCTTTTTCAAGTACAATTGAGATCCGTGGCCATATCTTGTTTTCTGCCTTCCAGGTGACATTTCGTTTTCCTTTTTCATATTCCTACCAGTGAGTTACTACAATAGGATGAACGCGAAGCTATCATTGCAGCTCTAAGATGGCATCAAGCAACACCAACAAAGCTCAGATCCGCCTTTTTTAAAGTACCAGACATGTCGCTCTCGTCCATCGATCCGGAAACGACAAAAGTTCTCTGTAACCCACCCAGAACTATTGTAACACACTGATTACTTATTATGGAATCTTCAACTTCAGATGCTGCATATATATATTATTTGTGGATCTGAAACACGAGAAACTACTTCGACATCTAAAGTGAAACGTGTTTGTGATGTGAGGAAATAATATATGACAACAGTTTGCCCTTGAGATGGTATTTGGGCTCCAATAACAAAAACTGGAAATAAACTCATGATCCATCAGCCGCTTTGTAGAATATCATTTTTACCTTCAAGGATACTCAACCAAATTGTAGACAGAAGAACTAGAAAAATAGTTGTATATCCTCTTTGTACAATATTGAGACTTCCTCCCATTTAAGCATATACTGTTTCCCATACATCCTCGCTTAGAGTTAATTTTAACGTTTGTCACTTTATTAAATAGCCTTCATCTTCTTCAATTCTACATTTAACAGGTCTCGATGTTTCACCAATGTAACATTTACTACAGTCGCAGCCTGTGTCGCACAATAAGCTGAAATCTAAACACATATGTGGTTTTGATTCAGCCAGACAATGGAATCCTATGAACTCAAAAATAAGGTCTCTCTTTTCTTGTATTCGGTAAAATGCGCCGAGTAGGCAGAGTACGGGTACACACCGAGTGATGCATCCCTTATGTTTACCCGAAAAATTGCAATCTTATTATGAGACTACCTGCTGTGTAATTGAGATAATCTTTCCTTTGGAATTGTGGGAAATTTAATTTTAATCATTTCCAAAAGAATTATCAAGTCATGCTAAAACCGAATACAATTCGTTTTTCAGATCTCCGGGGTTTATGAAAAATCGTTGAAGTCGAGATTATCTAAACTTCCTCTAAATGTTTCAGTTTGGATAAAGCGTTCACTGTATTTTTACCATAACCCGGACCCATATTCCCACAATTTTTGATCATTTGGACATTAACTATATTGTTAGCACAGTCCAGTAATACCGAAAAAAAGTTGAATGGCCAGTGACTTCATAACGATCATTCATTCAACTTAGTGTTTGCGTCTTAACTTTGTAAAGAAAACTGCTGCACGTACAGAATCATTCAGAAAGCAGTAGCAATATGATTAGCACAGAAAAAGAGTCAGAAACAGCACAAAGTTCATATAAATACGAGTTCTAAAATGCACATTTATCGAGATACATAGTGTTAAAATTGTAAGTACAAGATCCATATGGAATTTTGTGCATGTAGCACCAATACATACAAAAATGTTTGATCATTAGCCACTACACTAACAGCATAGCAACTGGGAAATTTTGATACTTGCAGAAGATGATTTTCTATGCCACAGGCATTTTTTGCATATATTGTATGTTTGGATAGGTGTCCAGTTTTAAATAAATCACTTCCATTCAGAAATATTCGCCAGACTAATCACATTGGTTTGAAAATTTCAGGTGAAATGGATATGAAAAACTTCAATCGTTTCTGAAATGCGAAAGGCTTTCGCGGCCATCATCCAATGTTATTTGGTTGGTTTTTAGGTAGTTAGGCCGTCGAAAAATATTTTTACTTGACGTTCTGAAGATGCCAACCACTCGTGTTGGCGAAACGTCAAGTAAAAATATTTTACGACGGCCTAACTACCCAAAAACCAACCAAATAACATTCAATCGTTTCTACTTTAAAATTAGCGAGATTGCATCTAGTGTATTGGGAGAGTAATCCCATCTCGTCATTAAAACAATATTCATGTTTTGACCATTTTTTATGTATAACAAACATCCAATATCTATTCAATAAGGAATTTTAGGACCCATGTGCATAGAGATTTTGTTATTTTTACATGTACTTTCTGCTCTAGACATTTTGGCAATGTTCCCTGAATCACCATAAACAAGATCGGCTTAAATCATAGAAGTCCCGTATTTAATGTATTCAAGCGAGATAAGAACACGTATTTTAAAGTGAGAGCGCTAATGAAGCATAACATACGTGACCTCGCTCATACACTGAATACCTGACCTCAATTATTCTCTGGCAATCCTGTATAATAATGTAAATCGAAATTGACAAAATGATTACTTACCCTGTATCATTCATTATTTATACAAATGTCGTAGCTAGCACTTGATTTGACAATTCAAATTATTTGCCAGCCTATAATAATGTGCGGTAACAGCAAGGAGAAGGATATTTTGACACACTGTCAGCATGGCTTTAGAAAACAAAGGAATATACCCAGACTGCTATACTTCAGTTCACAAGTGAATTTGTATGAATGTTTGGACAAGGGAGAAAGATGCATAGGACTGTTCATGGACTGTAAGCCGTTGATATGATCAGTCATCAAATTTCAGGTTACATGCATATGATTATATAATACACGATTGGGTCATGTCATATCTCACTCTAAGGGCGCAAACTGTGGATGTTGATGCATGCTATTCTTCATGTCAAGATTGGTGTACCTCATGGCTAGATCCTATGCTGATTCCTATTTTTGCTATTTGTTAACGACTTGCCAGGAGTTGGTAATATAACAGATGAGCTAATTATGTAAGCTATTTTTCTGGTAATCAAGTACCACTTAACGCATAAAATGACTTTTCATAAATTTTACTCCTTGTTAAACCTCAATCAATAAGTCGCTTAGTAAAGCTCAATGGCAAGTCGTTTGTTCAAGAAGCGAACACGAAGGAAGAACTACATAAGCAACTATGTGGAAGCTTGTCATCCGTTTGTCTTGAAATCTGGAGGCTTTGACAAGCATGCCCAGAGACAACTATAAATTTCATGATCATGCACAGTTTGCTTCTAGAGCAATATATGGCATCCAAATCAAAGCCTTGTGTAGGAAAAGGACATAGAGGATAATTGTTGGAGTGGTAGCGAGTGCCACGTGCAAAGAACTTTTCAATAAGTATAATATAATGACAGTTCCAAATATTATAATGATAAAACTATTAATGCACGTAAAATTAAATTTACATAACTTGCCAGTCAATACCGACCTTCATACCTATAACACCCATAATAATCTGCAATATTCACCTCCGAACATAAGTCAAAATTGTTCAACAAAGTAGAAAATTCTATTAAATATATTAATGACCGAGGCGTATGCAAACAGACGCTGACTATCTACTTCCTGAATAAGCCTTACTACAGTATGACAAAATATCAGGAATCCTGTAAGTTAGCGTTAGGCCTCTACTGCAATGATTTGACGTAGTTTATCATATGCTACATTACTTTTTTGTGAAATTATATGTAAACCATCCTTGAGTGTGTATCGACGTTTCCGACGGTATTCGGACGATTGGAATCAATTGAATTATTACATAGTCTAGTATAAAATATCGAAGAGTTTATTAATTAGTACCTCGAATCGTCCCATGATCCTATCCCTAAGGAAGGCTGGGGGCGGTGGCGGAGGCGGATACGGATCCCTGGGGAACATCCGATCGCGGAACCGATCTGGTCCCATGCCTTTCGGGCACTCCTTGGACCAGTGCCCGCCTCTACCGCACCGGTAACACTGCTCAGGATCTCCCATGCCGGGTCGTTGCCGAACACGGCTCGTAGATAGTTGCACCTTCATCGGCTGGCCGTCCACCATCGTGCCGTTCAGTTCTTTCACCGCGTCGTTCACGTCGCCCGACGACTCCAGATGTACGAAACCGTAGTTGCGCACGATGTCGCATTCCACCACCTAACACGGGGGAGGGTTTTGTTGTTCATATTCAAGCATTTTAGGGACCACCGGTCACGCCGATTGCGTTTTTAGCACGACTAAGGGCAATTTGAATCACGGAAAACACTTTCAGAAGCATGTTTTTTCTCACCCACAACTTGTACCGATTAAAACATAGGAAATGATGAGCACAGGCTCAAACTTCTAGGCGCTAGTGAGCCAATTCATTATGGTATGGTCAAATTAACAGTACATTACCTAGTTTTAGAAGTGGACCATTATTGGGCGAGCACTGTTATAACCTGAGGCCCGTAGCGACAAAGGACATAACGCTTGAGGCCAATAATGGCCTACTCAAACGAGGTGTGTAAAAATTTTTTCACTACTAACATTATATATTGCAATATTTTATTCGATTTGACGTTTCCAACTCATTTTACAAATCTTTAAATATTTAGTTGCCTGTTGACAAACTCAAATTAACGCTTGTGTCTATCACCAAGGAAGCGCAATGAGCGACTGTCCATATTTTGACATTTCAGGCGTTGGACGACACAGCTGTTTCAGCTGCTTTTGACACCACATTCAGCCCAACTGTTTTAGGATTTTTGGTGGTTCAGCCAATCAGCGCATGGTAGGGCGCAAGCAGGTATAGAGATGTCAAGTTTGAAAATTGTACAGATACGTATTTTTATCGTCAATAGTATTAGTGGAAAATTGTTTCAATTTGGGGGATAGTTCTTGTACAACCTTTTTGTGCGATAGACACAAGCAATGGATGCAATAGACAACCAATTTGATTTGGACTGGTCCATCCAAGGAGAGTAAAGTGGAAATGAATTATTTTTACTAACATCTACAGGAGCTAAGCTCAAAGTTACTTATATCTCAATTTTCAAAATTTACGAAATAAAAGTTCAGTTGTCAACCTGACACATTGAAATTCGCAGAATACAATTTCAAATGACATTAATCCAGGTTTTTTGTTTTCATTAACTTGTTAGAGAAACGATACTTCGTAGCAAGCATTGCAGTCGACAATGGTTGTGTTAGCAGTGAAAAAGGTATATTATAAAAAAGACAAGCACTGAGTTTGTTTACATATTTTCTATGTTCAAAGATTGGTACTGATTGCTCATAATCAGAAACTTGCTTCTACTATGTTTTTAGCCAAGGATTTTCTATTAGAAACGATTCTGTGATATCATGATGTGACACTTGAAAAAAAAATTATTTGGCTCAACCTATTACTCGTTGCATGATCTTTTAATTATAATCTTCAAATTTGTGAGTAAAACAGAAAATAGATTAATGACCAAAAACTAACAAAAAAAAAAACAATATTGTTGCTATAAAGACAAGAGTAATACACAATGCAAATAAATCCATAAATTATTGTTTTCAAAATCTCAACTGAGTGAAAAAACTGAGTTTAACAAATTCAGTTCTGCATTCATAATTGAGAATGACTTTTAAGTAGCATATTGTTAGAATGATGATTTATATGAAACTTTGAAATAATAGAAATCATTTTAGTAGCTTTATGCATTTTTCGATTTTTTTTATAGTAGTATAAGTACATACACGTTTGCTGGTAGGATAATGGACTGAGTGAATCGTATTATTTTCCTAGTTTCAAATCCCTTTTTCTAGATATCTGCCCGTTATACTGGATAATACTAGGATCGCGTTCTATACTTACGCAACATAGTCTGATCTAGTGACACTATGCTCTGTGTTGACAGCCGACGTCAGCCCAACCCATTACAAACCGTTTCAGATGACGGCATTTCAAAATCAGACCATTAAAATGAATGGAAAACTGTCAGTTTTTGAAGGACACGGGTTTTCTTTGATTGATTTAAGTCAAAATATAATTACAGAGTCCAACTACCATACTGGTATCGGAGAAGAACTGAATTACTTCTGACGCCCTGATCTCAAAAACGTATTTCTTGTTTTCGTAGCACCTCTAGTTTTATGCCATTTTCGACGCCATAAAACACTATAAAAACCCGAAAATTTCAATGTTTTAAAAGTTCCTGAATATCCTTCAAACGCCAAATCACAAAATCCCAAAGCATTTTAGGGAGTATTTTTAGTGTAACCCGTTGCTTACAATTAACTTACCTATCCATGATATTTATTGGATGATGAATGATCCTACATCTTGAAGTAAGGAGGTGTACACAATAACACCTAAGATGCTTTGGGATTTTGATAATGGATATCTGAAGGGTATTTAGGGACTTTGTAAAAATAACTTTTTCGTTTTTTTTTTCATATTATTTTTCGGAGTCAAAAATGATATAATATAATTCGCACTTTTTCAAATAGTACATCGCTTATATATCCAAAACTTGAGATGCTATGAGAGAATGAAGCATTATTGATATCATGCATCAGAGATATTCAAAATATGTAGTCAGTTGTTCGACATTTTTTTTTTCATTTTGTTAAGCTATGTTATCACTCTTTTAACATATTGCAACACAGAATCAATACATAAAATCTGTCATTTACGCCAAAATTTCTGATTACCGACCGGGTATGATACGTTACATACGCGATGCTCACTAGTTCATTTGTAGCCATTTGTCGCGCGAGATACGATCCTAGTATAAGACGGATAGTGGAAAAACACCTTAGCGTGCTAAAAACGTTCGGATATCGTTTTGTATAGTACATTGCATGGAAATATCGTATATTTACAATGATACTAATGAAATTGTGTATCAAAAATATTTTTATCATGATTTTTCATTCAATATCTTCTCGAACAAATTGGTAAACATTCTGTTTGGAAGATTTTGTTCAATACTTCAAGATTCTGCATTTGCGAAGTACAACCAAGCAGGAGCTTGTTCCATTCAATGTGAAAGTTATTATAAAATGTAAATAAACGATACTATCCGTGCAAAATCTGCACTATACATCATCTTACTAACCGTTCCGTATTTTTTGAACAGTTCGCGTATCTGCGGCGCCTTGGTGTTGTCGGTGAGATTGCCGACGAAAATCTTCGTAGTTGGTGTTTGCGGAGCCTTTCGACTTTTAGCGGCCTCGCACTTCATCGGCTGCCCGTTCATTACCTGTCCGTTCAGGTTTTGGATGGCTTCGCGGCCCTCGGCTTCGTTTTCCATATGGACGAATCCATAATTCTTCACGACGTCGCATTCAACCACTTTGCCGTACTTTTCGAACAGCGGTCGCAGTTCCGGCACCGTTGTTTTCTCCGATAAGTTGCCGACGAAGATTTTAAACGTACCGGCGCTGCTAAAACCCGGCATCGTGGCAACAGCGGCGACGGTAGTTTCGGTGGTGGTGGGGGAAGATTCAGTTGTGACTTCGGCCACGGCTCTAACGGCGGCGCACGAAACGCACGGCTTACCTCGATCCTGAAACTCGACAAGCTCTATACAATTTCTGAGGTAGTTACACGGTGACAGCACGGTACTCCAGAGGAACACAAACGGCTATTGACAAATAATGCATCATCCTATTGTTTAACAAAAACATTCAAGAAAATGAGCACAGGTATCTTTCTGTTGTAAATATAAAACTAAAGTGACTTTGACACCCTGTATCTTGAAAACCAGTGTCTATTCAGACAGAGAAACAAAAAAGGCTGGCGTAGCTAAACTACAGAATTACCGCTAGTTACATGAATAAAATAATAATAATTTATTTCATTGTTGAATAGAACAGAAAATTCTATAACAAATGACAAGGTCATAAAAATAGTGGTGACGAGTTGAAAAAGTATAAAAATATAGATCTAAACAAAAAACTCCTCCAAGGTGTAGAAACATTTGTCTATCAAAAAAAGTTTTAGTTTTCTTTTGAAAACAGCTATATTTGATTCATTAATAATATCATCATTGAGCTTATTAAAAATCTTACTACATCCCAAATACCTGCATGTTTTTTGGTATGCCGTAGTTCGATGTCTCGGCGGGATTAAAAGCATCTTAGGCTAAGCACATAGTGGAGCGGAGAGCAACGCAGCGATGACAGCGGCGAGCAACGAGTAAACGGAACAGCGAGTTGATGAAAGTGAAGGTGGCATATACTGACGAGTTTATAAGCGAGTGTCTTTCAACGAGATGGAATTGTTAATTGAAAATTCTTGCTTAAAAATATGGTATTTACTAAATAATAAGAAAAAGCCCAGAAGCTGTAGTGTACATGAGATAAACCGTAGTAGGCATACACTTGGTGAATTTCACCACCTATACAGTGAGTTGCGAGAACATCCAGCAAAGTTCCATGCTTATTTCCGAATGAGTATTGCAACATTTGACTACATTTTGGGGAGAATAGAAAATAAGCTATTAAAGAACTGGACAAATTTTAATTTAAATCCTATAAGTCCTACAGAACGTCTTACGATTACTTTGAGGTAAGTAGGTACACCAAATATTCAAACTTATATAATTAGTAAATACTGTAAAGCTAGTGAAGAGTTTCATCGGAGAAATTGCTTAGATAGGAGGCAACAGAGGTGGGATTTGAATATTCCTGGGATACAGTTTGCAACTCCGTAACATGGTAGGCCATAGGCTCCTGTGGTGTGCTGCATAAAACTTCTGAAGAGTTTTGGTACTGATTTTGCGAAGGATTTGATTCACCTCCGTAAACGAAATTGTAGACCAGCTCCTGCATTTTCATTCTCAATAGCATTTTTTTGCGCGGTGGAAGTGTTCTAACATGAGGAAGTAAGCTATCAAAAAAGTTTGAATCTTCATCGACGGTTCTTACTTGCTGATTTTGTAACATTTTTAATTTAGTTTCCTCAATTCTAACAAGGGCCGTGCCGATATCTTTATCGTTTTGTTGATTTCTCACTTTGCTAGGCTTAGTGAGAGTCGCGCCGGGGGTCGTGGCCGATATATTTTCGTTTTCTAAAGGTAACTGGCTTTCATTTACAGATTTTTCGTAATCACCAACTTCAGTCTCAGTATCTTCATTCAAAATGGTATCGGCCATTTCATTAGGTAAATTACCACCACTGGATCGTACAGTAAACTGATCTCTCAAAAAACACAGGCTGTCGAAATATTGCCAAGATGAAACAGTTGATTGAGCAGCCCCGTCTCCAGACCGTTTCGCCGGTATTTTTTTCATCTCTTACAGCCTGTACATATGAAAATTCCCACCGAACAACAGTTTACACAAATTGCCAAAGAATTCTATGATAAATGGAATTTCCCTAACTGTCTAGGAGCTATCGACGGGAAGCACATTCGAATAAAATGTCCTCATCACTAGGGAAGTATGTACTATAATTATAAGAATTATTTCTCCATTGTACTTCAAGCAGTCGCTGACGCAAACTGTAAGTTTGTTACAATTGACGTTGGGGGATACGGAAAGCAGAGTGATGGGGGTACTTTCCGTTCTTCCTCCTTGTTTCATTTGTTAGATACTGGACGTCTGAACGTTCCCCCAGATAGTGTTTTACCTTCAAGCGCAGTTGTAGCTCCTTATGTGTTTACTGGGGATGAAGCATATTCATTATTGAGAAATCTGCTTAAACCTTACAACAGAAGAAATTTGGATGTTGATAGAGAGTATTTTAATATGCGGCTTTCAAGAGCAAGGAGGACGGTAGAATGTGCATTTGGCATCATCAATGCTAAATTTCGCATTCTCTGGAAACCTATAGAAATCTCTCCGGAGTGGGCTGATAAAATTATTAAATGTATTTGCCTATTACATAATATTATAATCGACAAGGAAGGATTAGATATTAAAAATGAAATAGTAATGCCACATTCTGAAACAGCAGACGGATCCCGACAAAATAACAGATCAACTGATACTGCGAATTTTGTTAGGGAAAATGTTTTTATGTCAAAATAAAATTTGAGAAGCCAAATAACTATGTATATTATCGCTGTAAAACTAAATAAATGTTTGTTATAAGCACTTACTTGTAGAGTTCATTTCTTTGGCCACCGCATCCCACAACTTATCTAATATAAATCGATTATGGTGTTGAGGGTCCTTTTGATCCCAGAGAGCTTTTTTCATAAAAATACTAGTTATTAGTTCTTCGGTGTTCATTTTTCAATGTATACTATAAGCGATTACAGCAAAGAAAACAAACTTGTTTGAACGCTCTGCTTTGCTCGACTATAACAGCGCTTATCGAATCTCCGACGTTAGCCTCACTATCTGCGTTCAGATTTAAAAAACGTAACTTAATTTGCTTGCTCTCCGCTCCACTATGTGCTTAGCCTAAGACCTATAGTGTATTTACACCCAAGATAGAATGGATGCGTGATTGCCAAAAGCAAGGACGGCGTAAGGGCCGCATTCAGGGCTACCTCCGAATGATGGACTACCACCAACGTGTTGTAAAACAAAGATGACAGTATTTAACAGAAACAGAAACTTAACAAATAACTCAAATACACTTAACAACAACAACAGCAACAACCAAGCAATGTGAATACGAAAACACGAGCACGCAGTGATACACGCGACGGACGGTGGCCTGAGTGTAACTCTGCCTGCCCTGCCTCTGCCTCGCGCATTATTCCGCCAGGCGACGGCTTGAAATTTAATGGCGAATTGACCAATAAGAGGCGTTGTCCCCACCTGTTACCGAGAGATCACGCGCTAACTGTTATTATTTACATCTCATCTTGAATTTGGATTCAGTTTAGTTGGATATTCATGCTTGTGTTTAATGACTCCAAATTGAAAGTAAAAAACTTGTCAACATGGTAGGTGAGAAAAGAAGCCCAAAGCACAATCAAGTCGTAGGCAGTGTTGCCGAACCTACACCTTTTCCGATATTTTTAGCAATTTTTCAAGGTCTATGGATTTTTCGGTATTCCTATGGAAATGAGACATTTACCGAAAACTTCACTTTTTTACCGAAAAAGACCTGAAACCAAAAGTAGATTCTAGGTACTCTATGTTGTTTTACGCCCCATACCAATCATACATAAATTAGGCAACCGGGCATTCGAGGGGCGTAGATTCGGATTATTATCATTTTTGTAGAAGACTAATTTTAATTTGTTTTCATATTTGAAGATAATGTGTGATGTGTGCTAAAAATGGCGTTTTTCCAATTTGTGTGTGTTTAAACAAAACGTGTGCACTTTGCAATACAAAAATACAATTATTCTTCCATAGACCGTGACGCGTAACCCCAAGGCACTTGATCCGCCACAGAAAATTGGACCGGACCTAATTTTTTCTTTCGAGTTTTTCAGTTTGGCAACACTGGTCGTAGCCGAGAATAAACGAAGTTACAACGAAGACAAAACGATGACACAAAACGATGACGCATGACGATGAGGAACTTTCCGGAAAAGCCGGCGAAGGGACTGTCCACGGATTTATGAATAAAAGATATAAATATTGAATTTTAATTTACTGCACGCTTATTTCGGAGCTATAACATGAGTGTCATCAAATGATAATTATGGCAAAATGGTCTAACGAGTCCCACCCAAGAAAATTTCGAAGCACAAAAAACTTTCCGGTATATGGCAAACATTATACAGATATTTTTTCAGTCCAAAAAAAATAATAATACATCATTCGTTTTATGAATTTATCGCTAACGTTTGAAACATAAAAACTAAAAATTAGACTGAAATCTGAAAATCATCATGGCGTCAGGAGGATGCATCATTTGTAAAAAAAAAATCGATTACAATACATACAAATTATAAGGTATTCGAAGCTTCGTATTCAGAAAACGAACGAACTTTGCAGTTATCTCCCGATACCCAGATTATACGGAGGACACACACGTTTTCGTAAACCGTAGAAGCATGGGAGTTCGCAAGTGCGTATTATTTTCAAATACTATCGATAGATGGTAGTTACAACATAAATAATGTCTCACCTGCTGTTAAAACAATAAATAATTGTGATACTACTCACCTAAACTTAAAACGGAGTAAAAAACCGCAAAATTTCTGGGATTAAAGCACCTCACAACGGCGATGTCCACCAACGAGTTGCCCACACGATATAGAAAGACAAAATGGCGGATCCGCTATCCGCTAGCCGCCGGGCACGTCAACAGGATGACAAAGAAAGATAGATAGATGAAGTTTTATAAGTTAAGATAAGGATGGGGGATAGAGGCGCAATGGAAGGAATCTACGACTAATCTACGACTACATGGCAGTGAGCATGCGCACCCGAGTCGCATTATTGATTGTTGTGAATTGTAGAGATGAGGTAAATTCAAGAAAACGATACTTTGTAACACATACTTTACCATTAAATAAGACAAGAATGAAATGACGTTCTATCATTAATTGATCCACCTAAAAATAGCTAGCCGTGTACTGCATTTCGGTGTCCAAAAAGTTATCTTAGATCAAATGAAAGATCCTCGGGTCTTACTTTGAGAATTTGTCGCAACTGTTTTTCCTGTCCGCGGTAATTACAAAATTACTTTGTATAGATAAATGTTACATAGATTTTTTCTCTTACGTCGAAGCAGCTACGCAGGCAGAAGCCTAAATGCCAGCGCACAGCAGCTGTTATGAGGATTCCAAAGAAATTTTGTCAATCCGATTTTTGAACTGCTTATAAGGTTAGTAGAACTGGGAAAAGCTTCCTCTTGTAGACTGTTCCACAATATCGACACCCTCGGGGCAAAGGAGCGATCGTATCGACCAGTTAAGGATGTACGAAGTTCTGCTGGTGCGACAGGGTCCCGAGAGAGGAGTTATCGATCAGTCGGACAGCCCTCCTCTAGACAGCATCGAGCATAAATAATGTAGTCAGGGCGGCAGCACCCCGAATGTGTGAGCAATACTCGAGGCTAGGTCCTAACTAAAAGTGAGGAGGTCATGCGGAGAAAAGTGCTTACTACGAACTTATAACAGAAAGCACAGCTATAGGCCTGTAGTTGTAAAGGGTCGGTCTTAGATCCTTTTTTGTGGGATGGGTTGGACATGAGCAAATTTCCACTTTTCTGGGAAGATGCGTGAATCTCTCTGAAGAGATCTGGAGCAGGCTCCGTTGCACACCTCTTCAATACAACGTCCATGGTGAAGTTGGCAGCAAAGATCTTGACTTGGCTTAACGCGCTGTAATTCGCCATAATTATTTCAAAGAATTACGCATCTACCAGAAAAGTTGCTTTAATTCTCCGAAAGAGCAAGTCGTGTTATAAGGATTTCTTCTTGAATTGTTTACTTCCCGACTATCCGTGCTTATATTAAGCTAGAAGCCCTAAAAGCTAAAACCCACATTTTCTTATCCAAAGCTTCGCTGGACCAATCATTTTCTAATAGACACATTCGATATCGGCACTCCAAATTACTCCAGTGTACAGAGTTTCGTTCGCTTGTAACAAACGAACAACCAAAATAAAAATGTTGCTTCAGACACCTCAAAAATACCCCCTTCCCCGCCTTTTCAATCAAAATCTGTTCTTGATAAATTGGATTTCATTTCCTTACGTAAAATTTGCCTTCACGACGATTTACCATTATTTGATAGAAGTATTCAAAATCGGCGCACCGTTAACCTCTTCCACAGCTTTACAACTCGTTCCTTTTTAGCCGCTTGCTACCGTTTGCCCATCTCTTGTAATACTGTCTCCTATAGAGGGGAATTAGTATACGACGGTGCCAGATCGTCAATATTTTCGTAGCTCCAACGTTGGCGCCGCATCGTGTTTGGAGTTCTCCAAAGAGATCAAAAGTATTGTGAGTCATTAACACGGAAATATTCTACAGCATGAAATTGTTCCTTTTCTGGAAGATTACATATACCTTGCAGATTCAACCTCAGAACAAAAACATCTATTATGCATTATAAACAATAAAATTTATTCAAAGAATCACAGCTTTTTCATTGAGGATTCATAACTTTGACCCCCTCATACACAGCCCTTAGCCATATGCCCACTGCATGAGCTCCGGCGTCTGGGTGCTTATATGACTCTAGCCTGGTCTTTTGAGCAGCCTCTTCAGCCTTTGCTACACCTTTCCCGAAAGCCTCGATATAGTCCTGACCCATTTCTAGCCCTTCTTTAGCTGTCTGACAACATGCGTATATAGGGTCGTACATAGTACACTCACCAAATTCTACATTACCATACCTAGAAGAAAAATTGCGATGAAAAACGTATTAAAAACAGACAGCTTTATAGCTCGTAGACACACAAACAGGTTATCATGGCAGTTGTCACGTGACCATCTGCCAAATAGTTGACTAAAGCATTAACCTATCACTACATGAAATTTCTTCACTTATAATTGTCAGGGTAATATATCAGCCATTTACTCTTGTTTAATCACAACTTATTTGGAAAAACGAACTTTTTTTACAAAACTTACTTTTTCAGTGCATCTGCGGCAACTTGAAGGGCCTGCAACCAGTTTTGAGGGGTGATGATGTCATCCTCGCTCATTTTTCCGAAAACCAAAGCTGCGGCCTCGAACATGATGCTATAGATGCAGCCTGTCGCCCCTCCGACACATCGTTCCAACATCTTGCTCAATGACTCGAAAAATGCGAACGGGCAGTTGGTTATTACTTTGTCTTGATTTATCCTCTTCAAAAGAGTTTCTGCTGCTGTTCTTAGCCTGGAGCCTGTGTCGCCTTTTCCTTCAAATTAATTGCTAATTTCACCCTAGTATTAGTGTATTTATTGTTTGTGCTAGAGCATACCGACAGACGGCAGAAAAGAGCAGCTACATATGCCACGGAATTCCAAGAGATACTGCGGCATGCCGACGTCGTTTGCCACGTTCAAAATCCATCGGCTAAGCGTAGCATACCGTAACTACCAGACAATAGATAGAACTATTATATTTTTCTTTGCCAGCATCAGAAAGCATTTAGTGGGACCTCGCGGCGGGCGGCGTCGGCATGCTGGGGTAACGCGAAAATTGTTTCTCCTGCCGCCCCCCGGTGTACTCTAACCCTCATGCTGTATGCTGCGATATACCTCTTTCAGAGTCAATCACATTCAGTTGCTTTTCACACGAAATCAATGCTTCGCACGCAAATTGTGTTGAGTACATGAGTATATTCGCCAATTTTTCTGACAATTTTGCGCCTCTAATTGGTGGGGCCAGCCTGTCTTTCCTTGTCAGTTTCGCAGTCATTAGTATTTCACTAACTGCAATTATTTTGTGCTGGTTAACTCTCCTCCAGCCTAAAAGTGGGAAAGATATAACAAAACGCATAAGAAATCTTTTGATAAATAAAAGACAACATTGATCTACAACAGTACCAAAAAGTGTAGTTCATAAATATGTTTTTCAGGTGATAAGTCCTGTACTTTCCAGCACCAAGACCTCCAATATTCTAGTATAATCACACTCTTATTATGGATTAGTTTTATATGAGCTATAATTGGTATAAGACATAGATTTTCTTAAGAGACAAATAGCCTAATCATAGAAAACTGTCTGATGTAGATTACTAATTAGAGAAGGTGTGTTTGTGATGTCATTGTATAATCTTAAATGTAGATTAATGATATTAATTTCACACTTTAGGCCATAAGCATCTACTTCTTGCCCTAGATGTAATAATAACTATTAATAGATACCTGGAGCTTTGCAGACATCATCTAGATATTCTATCACAGCAGGATTATGTGGTTTTAAAATGGTGACAGTAAGATTGGTTCCATGTAGATCAGTTATAAATGGTCCAATGTAAAGTCTATGTACTAATACTGAGATACTATCCAAATAATCTATGAAAGCTTTTGCACACATGAAATCTTCTGCCTTTGTTAAGGTTTTGTTGGTGTTTAGTAATAACACAACTTCATCCCCAACAGTTAGGTTTATTTTCCAAGGTACCTCAGGTTCTTCAAATGCTCTTATATACAAGATGGCATCATGAGTTTTGGCACATATTTTTTCTTTAAAATCATATTCAGCCTTTATTCTCTTCGTTTCTGGTTCACAGATATCTCCAACCTTTTCCATACATTTACAAGGAGATGGTACAGATTCGTTGGAAGTAGGAATGGTGAAACCAATACTTTTCATGTTATGCATCAGTTTTAAGCAATATTCATAGATTTCTAGCAGCGACTTGCCCCTTTCTGACATCGCTCCAGCTATTTTGCTTAGGAGCACTATACCGCTGAGGCCTCGTTTTCTAATTGATGTTTTAAACACATTTTCGTAGTCATCACTAATTGGAATCATCTTGACTTTCAAATTATCATTTAAAGCTCTCTCTATTGCTACACCAAAATTGAGCAATGTTCCTGAATCAGCTGGCACTAGTAGCAAACTGCCTTTCTGGTGATTGTAACTCAGCTCTCTTATAGTCCTTAAGATCAAACTTGAAGTCGGTGCCATAAGTTGTTCCCCTATGTCAAATGTTTTAAGTTATATATGAAGACAAAAATAATACGTTGGTTTACCTTGAATGTAACAGGTCAACATTCCTTTGCCCACTAGGTCTAGGAGGCACGCAGGGCCTCCAGATATGATCCTAACAGCATCATTTTCAAAATAAGTCTTCTGCACTAGCACATTACCATATTCGAATATTGCAGAGTCTTGATCTGTGAGTGCTGCAGCTGTTAAAAGATTAACTGTAAAGTGTGGTTCGTTTATATTTAGCAGAGGGCATGCCATTCTGGAACATGCGATAATTGTATAATTTTTGTCACTTGAGTACTCAGTACTGTTCAAAATTTGGAATGGACCCGGCAACGTTGGGTAAACGTCAAAGAATAAAAAAAAGAGGTTACTTTGCTAGGTTTGTTCCTCAAAATAAAACATGCAGATTTTATATAAAAGCATTTCACTATAGATTGAACGTTTTTCACGTTTAAAAAACATTCTAGCTTCGAATACGTACTAAAACATTATTGCTAAGAATTAAGTAGAAAATGTAAAATAGCTACGACGTCCATAACTTTAAGTATCTACATATTTGATCGTTTTTTGTTTGGAACAAACTTTCTTGCAAATGAGCTGTCAAGCCTCAAATCAACAAAAATAAGTTTTACACAAAGGTTATAAATAAAGAAGACAAAATCTAATTTATTTATCATAATACAGTGAGCCGTTTGCTTTTGGAACCAAGCAAAATATGTCCAACAAGGCTGCAATCCTTCGTATACAGCTGCAAGCTATCCAGAATTCTGGAGGAACACACAAGGACCAGGCAGAAAAGTATGTTTTCCATGATTGAACCATTATTTCAGATTATATATCTTTACTTTTTATATTTCATATATTTTGCACTTTGTGCTTCTGGCCCCATGGATCCTAGATCCACCACTGGGGGAGGAGTATCTGCCAGTGACATGTCCTTGACTGTAGGCTTAATTGTTTCCCAGTCTATGGGTGATTGGTTCTCTTCTACTGATATACCAGTAGAATTTGCTACTCTGATCTCTCTTCTATTGCAAATGCCACATGGCCAGTAGTTACTGTGATCCATCAGTATTTATAATAAAATGTCTCATTTTTGACCATGTAGCCAAGACATCAGTAATTATTGATTCATAAACTGACAAAATAAGTAAATACTGATGATATGGACCATAGTAAATTCACATAACATTCATACTAATTTCAATTTAATTCTGTATGATGAGAACTTACCACTAGTATCCTATTCTTGAGGTACTTAGAATGTGGAACAATCTGCCAGAAGAGAGTTCTCAGTTTTTAATAGCAAGATTGAGGCTTGTCCTATATAAAAAAACGTTTTCTACAGGGTTGATTCATTTTAAACATTTTGTTTTAATCAATTGTTTTAAACATTTACATAGGTTTAAAAGTTTTTGTTTAAAACACTTAAATTGAACTAGCGTTTTTTTCTTCATTTTCTTTATTAATATAATAAATAAAAATAGGAAATGTTCTCAAATACATTATACAAACTTTTTAACATAAATATTATTTATTTATTAATAATAGGAAGACAACAAAAATTGGAAAACTTAAACATTTTGCATACAAGTGTTAACAAATTCCCCACACTCTTTCAGTCTCATAGTCATCAATCTGATATCTGATCAGTCATCTCATCACTGATGGAATTAAGCTCTTTAAAACTTGTACCTACTTAGCAGCTTTGACATTGCTTAGCCGTTGATGTAGTTTTGAATGGACTAAACCGTATGATGAGAAGAGTCTTTCTATGTTGGCTGACAATGCAATAGCTGTATGCAGCTGTTGAGCAAGTTTCAAGGCTGTGGTATTTACATTTTTCATAAAACGGCACCATAGTTTTACATTCTCAATTAGATGTTTAGAAAACATATACACTTTGCCTAGTAACTAATAATATATGGCAATGCTTCTGGATGATAGGTTGCTACATATTCCATCCCAGTTTCTATTTGCTCTTGACTAAGTTTATTGCCTCTAAAGCGATGATCAAGCAAACTTGCCAAAAAATGAGCTGGTGTCAAATCCTTTTTCATACGCTCCTCGACTTTATTCGTATCGCTTACCGAAAATTCTCCATTTGCTTGTTCAGTCTCGAATGCTTCTAAAAATTCTAGCCATATCTCTGTAGCCTCTCCTATGGTGCAAGTGTTTCTTTGGACTTTGTCCAAAGCAAATGCGACATACTTTAATTTTTTTAAATAGTTTTGCTTGGTCAGTCTCGAATGCTTCTAAAAATTCTGGCCATATCTCTGTAGCCTCTCCTATGGTGCAAGTGTTTCTTTGGACTTTGTCCAAAGCAAATGCGACATACTTTAATTTTTTTAAATAGTTTTGCTTGTTCAGTCTCGAATGCTTCTAAAAATTCTGGCCATATCTCTGTAGCCTCTCCTATGGTGCAAGTGTTTCTTTGGACTTTGTCCAAAGCAAATGCGACATACTTTAATTTTTTTAAATAGTTTTGGGCATTTGTCTTTAAATTGGTAAAAATCTCATCTAGCGTTAAATCCTCATCTGACTCGGAATCATAGATAATTGACATTGGTAGCTGAGAGTTTTCAGATGGAACACATTTTTAAATATGTTTCTTCATACGCAGCACTAGTCCAGCCATAATTACTTTACATTTAGTAGTCACTGATTTTTTGTTATTATCTTTAACAATATCAAAATAGGACCAAATGGCATCTTTCTTCCTTCCTGTAGACGACATTTTTCAAAAAAAGAACACCACAAAATAACTTACAGTAGACGTTATTGCAATAGGCAACTTGCAAGGCGAATTTATAAAAAGAAGTCCCTGGTTCCCCCAGGCCAATAGTTCCTCATTGCAATTGGTTTTTGTTATTTCGGGGATTCACCGGCACAGCCTAATGGCGGCGTGGCGCTACATAGTTTGTAACAGCTGATCGCGACAGTTTAGTACAGAGTCGGACTTTAAATAAGGTATCTATTATTTAGTACAATAATCAATATTATGAAAGAATATGATTTAAACAATGTTTTTTATTTGTTTAAAACAAAAAAAAAACGTGTTTTGTATAAAATAAAAAAAACTTTTTTTCAACCCTGGTTTTCTAGTGTTTACCCTTCTAACCTATGCTCAGTGGTGTACTATTTTTTATAATATCACTTTAGGTATCGTGCCACATTGGAAGAGATTCTAAAGGAACACAATTCTGATTTGATAGAATGCTTGCAGACCTTTATCGAAGCAAGTAAGTTGCTTATTCCTTTATATTTGGCATTCACTACAATACAAATGTGCCTTCATTCCATTTGTTTTTTTGTAAATTATGCCTTCAAAATGAATGAACAAAATGTAGAAGAAAGTTTTGAAGGGGGCTCAGCAGCATATCCACAGACTGATTTTACTCAGTATTTCTTCAGTCATTAGCAGATGTGTCCAGAAACTCTGCTTACATCAAGTGGGTCCCGCATACTCTTCAATTTTTAGAGCAAAGCTTCCACTCCAATTCATTTTTTACTCATTTTCCTTTCAAAATAATTAGTACAAAAGTTGCTGTCAATAATCTGATTTATAAATAAATGCCACGATTAAGTGCCAGTCATGCTATTTTTCATTCGATGATAGAAATATTGCCTGAAGTTTTTCAGTTACTAGAGTCATACCATTTGAAACACGGCTACCAACCAAAAAATTGACAAAACATGACTCTCTGATATTTATTTTAAATAATTCAATGTGATTGTGATTCTATCAGTTCCACATTTATTCTGGATAACATTCAAATATTTTCTCAAGTTTCACAGATATACATTTATCAAGTAATATCTTACTGTTCACACAGAACTTAATTGAAAATATTGCTTCTAGTTGTAAACGAAAACGTCAGCTTGGTAATCTCTCGCCAGATTCTGACTGAAATAAGCAGCCATCTCATGAAGCTACCAGATGACGTATCAAAGGTCGTGTCTCATTATATGTTGGACAAAGTCCAACCAAGGGTAATTTCCTTCGAAGAGCAAGTCGCCAGTATCCGCCAACACTTGGCAGACATCTATGAACGTAACCAAATGTGGAAAGAGGCTGCAGTGGTATTGGTTGGCATACCTTTAGAAACTGGACAGAAGCAGTACACTGTTGATTATAAATTGGAGACTTACCTGAAAATTGCTAGGTTGTATTTGGAGAATGATGATCCAGTGCAAGCTGAAGCATTCATTAACAGAGCATCATTACTGCAAGCAGAGTCTCGAAATGAACAATTGCAAATTTATTATAAAGTTTGCTATGCACGCGTGTTGGATTACAGGTATTGTGATACTTTCAATCCCAACATTTTAATGTATAATACTACTTAATTTGAAATAGAAAAACCCCAAGTGTGCCTTATGCATAATGAACAGAATTCAGCAATATTTATTAAAACAAATTTCAGGAGAAAATTCATTGAAGCAGCTCAAAGATACAATGAACTCTCATACAGAAACATTGTACATGAAGATGAGAGAATGACTGCTCTTAGAAATGCTTTAGTATGTACAGTTCTAGCATCTGCAGGGCAACAACGTTCTAGAATGTTAGCAACCCTTTTCAAAGATGAAAGATGCCAACAGTTGCCTGCAGTAGCTATTTTGGAGAAGATGTACTTGGAAAGAATCATCAGAAGGTAAATGATATGTTTTCGCTTTGATGTGAGAATAACTTATTTGCCTTGCTCCTCAGGATTTACAGATTTGTCGGTAATCAATTTTTCTCTTCAAAGATGTAAAATGACTGTCCAATTTAGTTAACTGAGGAATCCTTGAGATTAAGGCACTATTATGTAAGATAATAAGGTCTCTCTGAAAAAAGGCCACTTTTCAACTTATAAACAAGTCTTCCTTAAATTGAGCACTTAAGGGTTATATTCATTTGTAGGTCCGAACTGAAAGATTTTGAAGTTTTTTTGCAACCACACCAAAAAGCAACCACAGTGGACGGGTCGACAATATTGGATCGAGCTGTCATTGAGCATAACCTTCTGTCAGCAAGCAAGTTGTACAACAACATTAGCTTCGAAGAATTGGGAGCATTATTGGAAATTCCACCACCCAAAGCTGAGAAAATTGCTAGTCAAATGATCACTGAAGGAAGGATGAATGGTTATATTGATCAGATTGATTCCATAGTTCATTTTGAAAGTTAGTATCAGTGTTAACTAATATTTTTTGAGGGAATATTCAAGTCACTGTTTCTTCAAATGTCATTTTTTTTCGTCAAAACTAACATCAGCATGCTATGTTCAAATTCGCAGGCTACTATTGGGCAATGACACATAAATCCCTGGGTAGGCAGCGACAAGCGAAAGAATTAGCTACGTTTTATAAAAAAATTATATTTCAGCAATGAATGGTCTTATTTTTTCCTTGTAGCTCGAGAGACGCTTCCTCAGTGGGACAAACAGATCCAATCTTTGTGCTATCAGGTGAATTCTATCATAGAAAGTATCTCAAAGTGTCACCCAGAATGGATGCTGAAAGTGATGGATGAACAGATGGTTTCCTAGTTAAGAACACTTATTTTGTATCTTTATTGAATATTGCTTAAAAATAAAAATTATGTAGTACACATTTTTTGTTTTATCTCTGGAAGTGAAAAATTTTGGTTCTACTTCAATATTTTTTGATGGTCATATTCAAATAGGGTATATGCGTAAAACACATATTTTATTCAAGGAAATGTCTGTATTTACGTTTAATTAAATGTCTAAAATTGTAATTCCAGTGATGTTGATTTAAACGCCGCATTTTTGGCGCGCTTTCGATTCACGCGACTCACGATCTGTCATTTGATTGTATACTCAAGTGACATTAGAAGTGTTACACCTAAAAAAAAAAAATTATTTCTATTTGTTTGGTAACATAATGGCTATATTTAAAGCATGATGTGGCAACAATGTCAACGTTTTGTCTTACCTTTGTTAAAATGTTATCTCTCAGTTTTTGTGAAGAAAGCGACTTCTGAGAGCTGAGTAGTACAGATATTTTTAGATATTGCCGTTTCATCTATATATTCAAGTACAGAACACATAAATATGATTTTGCCCATATATGATTAATTTTTACGAAGAATGTGCATTTTTTCAAAGAAGGTATTTTCAAGGACCGAGTCTGTCTGTGGTCAAAATAACACGATAAGGATGTAAAAAAGCTGATAAATGTGTTCTTTCCAAACGACCAAACTGAGAGGTTGGCAGTTAATGACAGTGAGAACGAAGGCCTGTCATTTCAAATAGTGACCTCTCAACAAAGGCTGGTCACAAGTCGCACTGGTAACGATACGCCAATAGCGTTGCGTTTCGATATTTTAAATTTACCGCACATTTTCCCATTTTTTTTTTTATTTTTTCTCAATAATTGTATAGCTTTACTATGAGAAAACTTTCAAATACGCTTGCGTATCTGCAATCTATACAAAAACTAAAAATAGGTAGTTTACGAGGAACTCATAAAATTGCACAAAAGAAAGTAAGGTTAGGTGCAAAAATGCTGTCACGGTGATCAATCACTCCCGTTAATTGTGCGTGTCGAAACCTCTCGTTCCTGTTCTGGTTCTCTTTGCTCATTGATATAACGACTTTTTAGGTGGACCAAATAAAAATCATGTTAAATTGTAAATCTGTATTTGAGAATGTTTAACACTTTTATCGCATGATTTTTCCACCGAAATAAAGCAACGTATACACCAAAGTAAAAGTAGATGCAGCTCTTCACTTTTTCAACGATTTTCATAATACTTTATTCGACATATAATGAATTTGCCAAATACTTTACACATGCCCTTCCAACATCGAGAAAACAGTCAAGAGCAAATTGCTACAATTTTTGTTAAAAATATTATTTGTATATACAATATATATGTAAAAAATCAAAACTTTGATGTAAATCAATATATATGCGGACAAATAAAGATGACGTATCTTTGATTAATACTAAAAAGTCCCTTTTAAAACAATCAATCATATATCTACAATACAGCAGCTTAAATACGTGGGGTGGCGCTAACACAGTGCGGATCAGGGTGAAATGTCTTGATTAAGCCTCCAATTCGAGAGCTAAACCGACCTTGTGTCCACCATTGTTGAAGTTCTTTCCGTCGATTAAAGCAGACAATGTTAAGGTGACACCTGAAACATAATCCGTTAACAAAATGTAAAGCTTGCTCACACATAGTGGGGCCGTCCAAGTATTACGTACGCAGATTTTCATTCATTATTATTCACTCCCCTCCCCCTTGTCAGCTAAAACAAGCAAGTCTCCTACACCTACCCCCCCCCCTCCCATGTTTACGTAACGTTTTGGTACATTTTACGATTTGAAGGAAGTATTGTACTTGTAAAAAATCCGAAAAGAAAAAAATGATAAAAATTGCTGACGTATTCACCCATCCCCCGTGTCATCAAAAATAAGCAAAGACCCCAGCCCCCCATTAGTGCTTACGTAATAATTTCTAGATCCCTTTTTGGAACACAGTGAAAAATACGTCAATCAATGGCAGAGCGAAATCTCGTGAACCGTGACCGTTACCATGATATGCTCAAGGTAGCTGTATCTCCCGTTCGGATATTTTAAAAGCATGCATTTCTTGAAACATATGTCTCTCAATAAAATTAGATCGTTGATTGTTGCCATTGCAGTACCAAATTCTATTTAATAATGTGACGGCCACGATTCACGAGATATTCAATGACCTATACAGGGTATCTAAAAAGTTGGGACTTTACAGAGCAGATAGATCAGGCAATGATAGTCAGTATCCAAATCAGGCGCCGTGCAGTACGTAACTTGACCTAGTTTATAATCAAACTGAATCAGGGAATAGGCATGTTATTTTTGTTTTATCTGTCAATTATTTACGTTAATACCGTAACACATATTCCATTCAAGGAAATGTCTGTTTTTTATTAAATATTTCGCAATGCTAAAATGACGATGTAAACGTAGCATTTTTCGCGGGCTTCGCAGTGACGTCACAACTCCTGGTTTGTCATTTTATTCTAAGTTCGTCTAGTTCGCTGTACTAAGACTAGAGATAGGAGGACAAAATGATCAAGGGATACACGTATCCATATGAAGCTAATCCTGTCGCCAAAGATGGTGGTGGCTCTCGGAAATCTAGTGGGCATAGAACACGGCGTATCGAAAAATGTCAACTTAACCTACCGCTATCTTTAACGTTTTGCCATGCTTTGTAGGTTTATTACTTCGTGGTTTATTAATATTATCCGATATTTTTGTTTGCAACTCGTCCGAACTGTCGAAATTGGAGTGGTTTACAGCAGTGGCGGCTCGTGAGGTAGTGCCACGGTGCCATGGCACTACCTTGTCTTCTTCAAAAAGAATATTTTTTTCAATCTTCAATGTTTTACTTTATTTTCTGCTTTTTCATTTTTTTTTTGGTATAAATTATATGAAGTGACAACACTGACAACGTGACAACACCGCAAGCACCCGAACCACGCGAGACGGAAAGCACGCCTTGTCCTTGACGTCATCAACTTGTGCCAATTTTGGGCCGGCCCAAATAAAAAGAGAGAAATTCTACTAGCATCGCATACGAGCGACAGAGGTAACGCTACCCTACACATTTTTATATGAGGTGAATAGCGAAAGACAAGTATAATTTGTGCCAGGCACATCATCAGTCGTAATTCGTTATCAAGTGATATCGGCGGTGTTTTTGTTCGGTCGGACGTTTCGTTATGATTACGTCTAGTGCTGATTTCGGTCTTTTTTTACCTGAAAAGTGAAAAATACCTTTTTTGTTTTAGTACGTCTAGTGTTAATGAACTGCTCTGTTTTGTGATCATATTTTTTACTGTTTTATTAAAACTAGTGAAAATGAATAAAATCGGGATATTAAAAAACTCATTTAGTGGTTTTTCGCTGGATCAAAAACTGCAAATTAAAGAATTAGGACGGCCAATACCCGATTTAAAAATTGAGAAACAAAGTGGTAGCGGACAAAAATCGCGCTGTCGCAAATTTAATAAAAATGTGTACGATAAAAACAGCTGGATATGTGGTTGTGAAGAAACGAATAAACTATTTTGTATTGTATGTGTTCTATTTGGAGGTGACGAGACTTGGTCAAAAAAAGGTACAGACGATCTTATACATATATGGGATAAAATGAAGACCCACGAAAAATCTAAAGTCCATATGAATAATGTTTTTAGCTTTTCTATTCTTGGTAAATTAAATATAAGGACTCAACTCAATTCGGCTTATCGCAATGATCTAATTAAACATAATAATCAAGTGGATAAGAATCGATATGTATTGAATAAAATTATTAATTGTATAAGGTTTTGTGGAGCATTTGAGTTAGCCTTAAGGGGTCACGATGAAAAGGAAAATTCGGAAAACAGAGGCATATTTAAGGAGCTGGTGAATTTTAGCGCCGAATTAGACAACGAATTGAAAGTCCATATTCAAAGTGCCAAACTTTTCAAGGGTACCTCAAAAACATCTCAAAACGAGCTTCTTGAGTGCATGCTAGATGTTTATCATGAAGAAGTTAAGAAGGAGATTGCAAATTCTCCTTTTGTTGCAGTAATTGCCGATGAAACGACTGACGTAGCCTGTGAATTTCAGTTAGTTATTATTTTCAGATATTTGTGTAAAGGACAACCAGTTGAGTGATTTTGGAGATTTTACGTCCCCGACGGACACGATGCCAAATCAATCGCTGCATGCGTTTTAAATGTTGTAAATCCATTACTAGATCAAAATCCAAACAAATTAATAGCTCAAAGCTATGATGGTGAGTCTGTTATGAGTGGTGAATTGAATGGCGTTCAAAAAATTATTAAGGAAACTTATCCACTTGCAAATTATGTTCATTGCTATGCACACCAGTTAAATCTAATTATGACAAGCGCATGCTCTGTCAATAAGCAGGCTAGAATATTTTTCCATAATTTATCTGGATTATGCTCTTTTTTTTCGACGTCTCCTCAAAGAACAAAAATTTTGGATGAAATAGTTAAATTGCAGATTGCCAAGATCTTCCCAAACACGTTGGAATTTTCAGTCATGAGGTGTTCATACAGTTTATGAAAATAGGAAAGACCTGATTGAAGTTATGGACAATATAGAAAGTACTTCACGCGATTCTTCGTCGATTAATCAAGCCAGTGGGTACAAATTAAAGCTGCAAGATACAAATTTTGTATTTTGGCTAAGTATATTCCATAAAATAATGCCACATGTTGAAATTGTTTTTAACCAATTACAAAAAGTATGCACCGATTCTGTTAAGGTCAAAAATGATTTAGAGAATTTTGAAGCAGCAATTCAAACTATACGAGAACAAATGGATAGCATTATTGACGAAATTGAACGAGTGCAGAGAGAAACTGATGAACCGGCAAGAAAAAAAAGGCAAGTTGAATAAGGCAGCAAAAAACGGGAAGCGTTAGAAATATGCGATGCAGTATTATCGCAAATAAGAACAAGATTTAACTTTTCTGGACATTTAGTTGCTTCTAATTTATTTGTGTCTGAAAAGTTTTCTGTTTATAAACATCAGTTTCCTGAAGCACATTTAAATGACACATGCACACAATTTTCATTTTTAGACAAAAACAGGCGGCTTAAAACTGAGTTACAAGTATTATATCAGAGAGAAGAATTGAGAACTACTTCTGGAGCTGTTCCACTATCCATTTTATTGAACGAGGAAGGATTAAATTGTACGTTTCAAGAAACTCTTAAGCTCTTAAGTATTTTAATCACTATACCGATGTCAACATCTGAAGCAGAACGCTCTTTTTCAATGCTGAAACGGATTAAAACTTTCCTCAGAAACACAATGAAGGAAGAAAGGCTTATTGCTTTAGGAATGCTGTCTGCAGAAAAACATTTTGTTAGTGGCATTGACAATTTTAATAATAAGGTAATCGAAAACTTTGCTACCAAAAAAGAAAGAAGAATGGACTTCATGTATAGAAAACTTTGAAGTTATAGGTACTTCTCCACACTTGTTTTATAATTTGGTGCGCGTGTGTAAATAGTTTTATTTTTGATTTTTTTTTGGACATATAGATTTATTGAACCTCAAGAACTTTGACCACTAACTATCAGGGGTAAGTTATAAGTTATTCTTTACAATTTTGAATCGATTCAAAATTATGGCTTCCATTCTGGCACTACCTCACTGAATTGGCACGAGCCGCCACTGGTTTACAGTCATGATGACAGCAACATAGAGATGCCACATGCGCAAAACTTCATTTTCTGAGCAGTGTACATACGAGAGGGACGCTCTATGCGCAGCACCCTCTCTAATCTTCATGATTTGCAGTCAAGTTTTGAAAGGTTCTGTATTTCGCACGTTTCGCAGTGACGTCACAGCTCATGGTTTGTCATCTTATTGTTTGGTTAATTTGCTGTTAGGTTTTGAAAGGTTCTATTTTTCTGCTGTTGTTTTTCCGATGTTGCCTTGGCGGCAAAGATGCATGTCCGCTGTCAAACGGCGTTGATATCTGTGTTAAAAAAGGAGCGTAACCAATTGTACTTAGATAACTCGGTGGCGGACTCAACATAAACCTTCACTCTCTGAAACCGATTAAACTGATAGGTTGACAAACAATGACAGCGACAAAGGATTGGCTGCTTACTTGCCGACATCGTTACGTCACGTTAATAGCGTTGCGTTTCCATATTTTGAATCTGCCGGGTATTTTCTCATTTTTTAAACAATGACAGCGACAAAGGATTGGCTGCTTACTTGCAGAGATCGTTACGTCACGTCAATAGCGTTGCGTTTCCATGTTTTCAATTTGCCGGGTGTTTTCTCATTTTTTATTAACACTCGTAATTTTACAGCGCATATGTATAAAATGCTTTCTGTAGCAATATAGACTGTAAGTAAAAATGAATAATCGATATTTGAATCACATGCATATTCCCTATTGGCACATTCCTGCATATATAACGTAGTTATCGATTTGATCTTTACTGTAAACGTCTTCAAAGATCCTATTGATACTCCGCGAGCGTATTCGAGTATTCAGAACGTTGTCGTCGTCCTCGATGTTTCCATCAGAACTGCGTAGATTTGTTTATATCGTACAAAACCATCTGGGTGAACATAGCAGAAGATGTAGATAGCTCCAAATTCAGGACGAAATAAACAAACCCGTGTTCGTTATTTCAAACGTAGTTGTTTATGAAAAGGAAGGTCTCAACCCCCTATAAATATCGGGAGTACTCGTATTACTTACCTTCACGTAGACGTTGTTGGTACCCCAGTCCGACCTGGCAGGCGTTGTCGACCTTCGCCCTCACTGCCGCGTCCGCATCAAGATCGAACTTAGCACCGATGCCAAATTTGGTGTTGTGGCTGCCAGCAGACCACGCTAGATTGATGCCCGTCTCCAGCTTAGGGCTGAGCTTCTGGTAGATGGAACCGCCGAATGTCTGACCGTCCTCGCTATCGGCATCATGCTCGCTATAGTTACCGTAAACGCAAATATTTGGGATTAGGAGGGGTGAGGAAGTGGGGGTACTTAGGATGGACCAATAGGATATCTGTAAAGGATTCATTCGTTTGCTCCACCGACAATAAAGGTGATTTAAACGTAAGGTAACATAATCTACCTTTGACAAGAATACACTCTCATTACAATACAAACAGCTATCAGTCAAAAAATGGAAGGGTGCCTCGATAGGTATTTCAGGATTTTATTTTTAAATAAAAATAATATTTCATTTTATTAATCGTTTGCGGTTTTTTGAAAAATCTCGAGAGATCAAAACAAAAGGTAGATTGCATGATCACCATTACGAAAAATCATGCGGCCAGAAGGAAAATTGTGAAAATTCCAAAGTTTCCCTCCTCTCCGTATGATGAGTAGCCGTATCTTGTTGAAGAAACATATTGTTAAGATACATTTTATCCGATAAGCGACCCAAAAGTACATATTTTGTGGTACTGTCTACCGTTCCACCAGCGTAATTTTGATTAAAAAATGAAAGAGAGCTTTCCTAGGATGTTTGTACAATTCTGATGCGTTCCTCCATCCATTAATTTTCAGGGTTTCTAAAGCCCAGCTAAATCGCCCAAATATTTGTTGTAAAACACGAAGAAGTAACAAAAACAATAGCAAAACTTTAATTAATTAGTTATTGGAATAAAATCGTAGTCTCAATACACTTTTAAATGAGATAAATATTTTTTATTTTATCCCAACATTTTTGAAATGTCATCCGAGACCGGAAATGCAACTAACACCAATACCCAAAACATATATACACGGGACAAATAACTCTGAAACAGTTTTAAGATCAGTCGCTACTTGACATTATTAGTTTCAGGTCGGCATTAATAGTGGATGGTAGTGCTTCAATAAGTCCTTAATCTGCCTAAGTCAAGCACTAAGAAATGACGCAAAATTTAAATTCTGAAATATCTATTGGGAATTGGACATCATTTTTAATAATGTGACATCTGAAACATATGTCGATGATCTTCCATGTTTGTCTGGCCAATAAGAAAACATTTATTTAAAGTATACTCTGTATATACATATTGTAAAAAGTGTCATTTACTGAAGAAAGTCACCGTTGCGGCCGAAACGTTTACAAAATTAAAGAAGCATTTCAAATATACAGTAATGGACAAAAGTATATAGACAAATATGAATATTTACCTAAATACCTTTAGAAAACGAATTCATACTTCATTGGTCCATAAACAAATGCGTTGTTAGTAGAAAAACTAACTTCCTTGTTTTTACATTATCTGCAATGAACACTTTTTTATGAGGGACAAAAATATGTAAACAAATTCTTTTCAACATTACTTTAGTACAGTTTCGTGTCAGAAGAGGATTAGTTTGTGTTCATCAAGTATTGTGGAATAAGTTGAGTGATTTTAAGACCATGCCGCGTGGTCCAGAAATTTCTTTCGATGTGCAAACTAAGATCATTGAGTTATACAAACATGGCCAACTTCAAGTCGACATTGCCAAAAATTTGAAACTGAAGCGTAAAGCAGTTTGGGCAATATTGAACAAATATAAACAAAAAGGTTATCTGGGAAGCCTCTAAGAGAAGTGGTCGGCCTAGAAAACGAAATGCTAGATCAGTTAGATTAATAAAAGTAATTTCGTCCAAAGATCCGTTTAAAACCCCAAGACAAATAAAAGCCGAAATCGAGGCAAAAGGAATTATCAGTGTTTCTACGAAAACTATAAGTAGAATATTAAATGATTTGAAGTTATTTGCACGTCGCCCGAGTAAGAAGCCGCTAATCTCGAGGAAAAACGTAAGGGCCGATTACAATTTGCACGGCTGCATCTTGATTGGACGAATCCAAGTTCAATATATTTAGATCAGATGGTGTTCATTACGTTAGACATGCTAGTGGGCAAAGATTGAACCCCAAGGACACTGCCCACTGTCAAACATGGAGGCGGGTCTGTTATGGTTTGGGGGTGCTTTTCGGGGTTTGGGATGGGACCTTTACATAGAATAGATGGCATTATGGGTAAGTTTGTATACACAGACATACTAAAGCATGTCATGTTACCCTATATGGAAGACAATATGCCCTTAAGATCAATCTTCCAGCAAGATAATGACCCGAAGCACACTTCAAATCTCGCAAAGAAATTCTTTCTGGATGAAAAAATACCACTTCTCAAATGGCCTTCACTGTCTCCCGATATAAACCCCATTGAAAATCTATGGGAATACTTAGATAAGCAAATACCAGATAAAAATTATTCAAACAAGGATGAACTTTTTGCCGCTTTAAAGCAAAAGTGGAGACAGATTGATGAATCTTATATCAAGAAACTTCTACAATCTATGCCGAGACGATGCCAGGCGGTGATTGATAATAATGGTTATGCTACAAAATATTAACACAAACATGGTTGGTTTTCTATAATTCAATGAACTTTGCTTCTTTTTTCTATAATTGTTTTGCTTTGTCTATATATTTTTGTCCTTCATAGTTCCAGTTTTTTTCAATTAATTTTTTATTCAAGGGAGTCTAATGAATTTATTTATGTATAAGTGAGTATTATGCTATATCGAATTATGTATACAGGTTGGTATATTAATAGAACAAGTTAAAAAAGAAATGCAGCACAATATTAATTTGTCTACATACTTTTGTCCATTACTGTATGTGGGTTCATTGGCCAAAAAAACATGGGAGATCATCAATTTTATATTATACTTCATAAGAACTCAGGTTTGGTAGAGGAAGAATTATTGGATAAAATGTAAGGACATCGACAGGGCACAATATAAAAAAAATTATACTTACACAGAGGTATGCAGCACAAACTCATTCGTGGCGAATCCGAGGGCAAAGTTGCTCTTGGTAAGCTTAGATTGATTGGCATCGAATCCGGCCTGATACCCGGCTAACCAACCTTGATGGGCCACCACGGCCGAACCCAAGATGTTGGGGCCATTCTGATCCAAGTCTATATCGAAGTTCATCGCCACGCGAGCATTTTGGAAGGCCGATATCAGCTTCGCAGATTTGTAGCTGCGAAGAAAAAAAATAGAAAAACAATCGAATTGAAACAAAATATACGAATAATATCAACGAATTCAGATAAGGTAGGAGCCAGTCGAGGATTTGTTAGCTCCTAATTCTCCTAGCCTGGAATGAGAATCAAAGTGCACTTTACATAAGACAATTTTTTTACAGTTCTGTCATTAAATTCGTAGTTAGTGTTATCTTTTAAAAGTGCGAGGGTTTGCAGATAATTGTGGTGTTGCAAAGAGCAGCACAAGTCTAATGATGGTAGATGTTTCCATCCGTAAGTATTACTATTATTATGTTGATACAACGCTGTCACTTTGATAGGCGTTGGTGGACAAATGAGTCAAAAGTATGCACTAAGGACCGTATCGTCAGTCGTTCCTACAATTATTTTATCAAATATTTGCATCAAATTGCTCATGCTTTTGATTTATATGATCTGTTACAATAGCCCGAAATTTCCTACAATTAAACATAGCCTCACAATAGGAGAGCGCTAACGCTGACACGGCACAGTAGAAATGTAGAAATACCCCAGCCTTTTTGAAGGAGAGAAAAGACTATGCGAATCAAGGCCATAATGGCGCCCTACAATTGTAGGAACGACTGACGTTACGGCCCTACAACTATGCAATTTTGCCGGCAACCAATGCAATGTAAACACATAGGCTTGACTCCTAATTTCTTCCAATTATTTGAATAATACCGATATCAAGCAAAAAGTAGTTACATATAACACAAGAGGACACTTCGTGGAAATCCGCCGGTTGACTTCATAGACCTTGTCCCTTTAAATTGGTTTTGCTCAGCGTTGCCGGTTGTTACTTTATTCCAGGTAAAAGTCAGATTTGCGAAGCCACCATTTTCAACCCCAAATCGGTATGACCCCGATTATAATTGTATTCAGGGTATGTATATTAATATTCTATCGCCATTATTCCGGCAAACGTATACCAGAGATAATAAACTGCGAAATACATATCTTTGACGTATGCTTGTCGCCTTCACTGACTGTCTCTTTACACTGGTTTGACGATATACTATATCACGCGGTGATCAACAATCAATAATTCAAGCTACAATCAGTATACCAATGTCAATACAGTTGCTTCCCGAGAGTTGATATTACTCGTAAGATGTAAGTTAAAAATGTCATCTTACCCGGTTTGCGGGCAGAAGCTGATCTGTCCGCCGAGCTTGAGCCCCTTCAATATCTGGTCCTGGATGCTGACCTCTGTACCAAGGGTATTTTCGGTGGTCCATTTCTCGGTGAATGTAATGCCGTACTCCTTGACGGTATACTTGGTTTCCAAGGATCCATGTACCTTGCCGGACTCCTGATTCGACGTGCCACCGGTATTGAATTGGACGCCGCCAGATGTTTTTGTCTTGCAGTCCAACTTAAGCAGGCCAAAGTGGTAGCCTTTGTTGAATACATCCTTGGCGCGTTTGCCTAAGTCGGGATACGGTGGAGGGCCCATGTCCTGATCACCAAATGGCTCAATTAATGACTGTTTATTATACCAGCAAATATTTTAACTAAACAAAAAAATATGTTTACTTATAACAAAAAGAAAAGAATTCGTCCTTGGCATGGTAATTAGCTTCCGTCAAGAATCCATGCAGTACTTTTCGAGATATACACTGAAAACCCAAATTGTCTGACGGCTTGAGTTCAATGTGTACAAGAAAGAAGTGTGTATAGACACTTATTTTAGAAAGAGATAGAAGACGGCTGGGTGGTGAAGCTCATCGCAACGTTGCTTAGCAACGTTGACGCCGCAATCTGCCGCGTTGCCAA